ATCGGCTTAGGAAGTTCCAAGTTTCCGCAAATCCCGAAACCAGCACAGTCTCACAGGGGCCCTAGAAGTTCGAAAATTGACAGTTCGCGATTCCGGGAACACTTTTGAAATTTTGAACAGTTCGTTTGTTTCGAAGGCGTCGAGAGAGAGCAAGAGAGAGATAGAGTGAGTTGAGAAACTTGTGGACGCCAAGAGTGTAATTAGGATTTGCAAATGTTTCTTGGCAAGAAACGAAGAGAAACGAAACGGTCTTGGAGCCGCGTCGTTTCCATCGCTACTCGTGCCGATACACGCGAGAAACACGCGCCTGTATGTCGGGTGTTTATTCAGAGAACGAGAGAGCGACTTTTCAACGGGTTCGAACCATGAATGGGCGGTCGATGCTACAAACAAGTCGCGATCGTTCCTTTTTTCGTCGGTTTTGCGGATGTTTGGCGCCATCCCAGGAACGCCGGTTTTCTTCTCGTATAAAAAATCGAAAGACGTTCTAGACGACCGTCTACGGAAGAATAACAGAACCACTTTCGATCTGGTTTATCGATCTACGCGCGATTCCCATGAAACGACCGGAGATCGTACCTTCGATAAAAGACCAACCGAGATTCCTTTTACCCGAACGGATTTGGAAACGGTTTTTGTCGGTCGCTCGATGAAACGAACACACGCTTCGCGATCGCGAAATCTCGTGGAATTTCTGTATAACAGTCTTTTAAGAATCCCACTTTTTTTCGTTTCGCACGACGACGGTGAAATTTCTTTTATAACCCTTAAATTTCCATTTCCTGTGGACTTCACCATGCCGAACGATAAATATCACAGAATCCAGAGATTTAATCTTCTTCCTTGTATACTGAAATCGCGTGGTTGACAATGTAAACAACAAATAACCGTCTAAAATTATCGTTGCAAGCTTGTCCGGCCGACGGTTTCAAATTCGAGTGAATTAGGAACGGGTTTAGGCTTTCAGATTTAGTCCGCGGTTCGAGTTGCCGGTGTTAAGTTTCAAATTGAGGAGAACCATCGGCAATAACGAGCTGGATATCCTATTAATGCCTCGTCGTTACAATACGGCTCGGACATTCAATAACCCTGGTAACAAGCTATTTTTAAATTTCACCGAATGCTTCAGGATTTCGTCGCAACGTCGCGTCGGCACCGCGTAAACGCGTCTCCGCATCGGCTGTAATTTTCTCTTCCTCGATCACGATAATTGCTTCCCAACGACAGGCTAATTTCGAAACACGACTCTGTTTCGCGCTGCTAATTCGACCCGGCTCGCATTGTCTTCGCGCCCACAAAACGAATAAATATTTACGAGCGTCTCGTTCGCTTCGTCCTATCCCGCCAAGTTATCTACATTGAAAAGGCACCGTGGGGGTCTCCATTCTTGATGCTTTTTCGCGTCGAGAGAAATGGCGATTCGAAAGCGCGATAGTTAATAGCACGAGTAAGTACCGATTCACCCCATCCCGATAGATCATACCAGATGTCTCGACGATACGCGATTCGAATCGCGCCAGTTATTTGACAAACTAGTTATTGAAAGTTTGTTATCGCGACGGAAAATTGTTTAGGAAACTATCCCGTTGCATCGACACTATTTTCTCTCGAAGAATCGACAGCCGATATCTGCAAATCGTTGGATAAAAAGGACGTCCGGCGTCGCTCCGCGTCGATACCAGGTGAAAAATGACAAAAGCATACGGAGAGGTCGATTCGATGCCTCACTGACAGCTATCTCCCTCTCTCTCGTGTTACTTTTGTTCGAGGATTTGTCAGGGCCCGCTTTCGTTGGAGGCGGTTCCCTTAACACTTTGACGGCCGCTGTCACGTATACGTGACTTTGCGAGCTAGCAGACGCACAGTGGGGCCATTGCATGCCAAACGCGGCAAAAAGTGGTTTTATACAAATATACCCACAATGAAATAATGATTCACTAATAGTTAATGGGACACATGGGCCATGATTTAGTGTGATTTTTTTTATCATTTGTCGATTTTTGATACGACTACATGATTTTGAAACGTTCAATCTTAAAATCATCCAAAATTATAATCATCGTTTATTGTTGCTTTGATTCTTCAAAGTAAATGATGAGTAATTGAATTAAATGTACTTAGTACGTATTTAAATTACACCAAAGTACACTTTTATATCTCCAACATTTTCTCAGTTATAACTAATTGAACATGTTCAGTTTTCATTTTATTTTTTAATTATGAATGCAGTGTGATTCAGTGTTCATTTTAGTTGCTTTTTGTGGAGTAAAGCCTTACCTTTTTTTAAAAAAAAAAATTAGCTGCTACTAGCTGCTACTGCGAAAACTATAAAGATGATCAACTGTTTCGGCACGTGCGAGCGTCGGCGATTGCGAGTATTGTTACGATTCTCAAAAATACATCAAAACTAGGAAACAATGCATACATTTCATTGTTTTTGCTTCGAATGCTATAAAAGCATAAAATGATCACGAATTTGGAGCATTTGTCGTTTGAGGTTCCTAACTTGTATGTTGTGAGTGAAATATTTAGTGTTAAAATAATCGAATTTCCAATTGAAGTAGGTAGGTACAGATATACAGGGTGTTCGGCCACCTCTAGCAAAAATTTTAATGAGCGATAGTAGAGGCCAAAATGAGACAAAAATCAAGAATACTAATTTGTTGGTGGAAGCTTCGTTAAAAAGTTATTAACGTTTAAAGTGCCGCTCTTACTGAATTTTTTTCTCGAAAATGCGCAAGATTTCGGGGGTATGTCTATTCACCAAAAATGACTGTAATTGAACCCTACAACCGAAAATAATTTTTCCACAACGATTTGCAATTTTTTAATTTTCTCGAATAATTTCACACCTTCTCTATTTTTTTTCTCGAAAGTGGGCAGGATTTCGTGGGTATGTCTAATGACAAAAACTGATTGTAATTGACCCCCGCAACCGAAAATAATTTTTCCACAACGATTTGCAATTTTTTTTCTCCGTTGAAAAATTTAGGCACCTAATTGGATTTTCAGTAAGGAATTTTTCTCTCGAAAGTGCGTACGATTTCGGAGGTATGTGTAATGATAAAAAATGATTGTAATTGATCCCCGCAACCAAAAATAATTTTTTTAAAACGATTTGAAAAATTTTTTTTCGCCGAAAAATTTCAGCACCTACTCGATTTTTTTTCTCGAAAGTAGATAGGATTTCGGAGGTATGTGTACTCACCAAAAATGATTGTAGTTGACCCCCGCAACCGAAAATAATTTTTCCAGAACGATTTGAAATTTTTGAATTTAATTGTTAATAACTTTTTAACGATGCTTCCATCAACAAATTAGTATTCTTGATTTTCGTCTTATTTTGGCCTCTACTATCGCTCATTAAAATTTTTGCTAGAGGTGGCCGAACACCCTGTATATATATTTGAATTTCGCCATTTTTCTTCATCTTCTATATAGTTTGTTAATACAGTTTTCGTAGCAAAAGTTTCACTTTAATAGAGTGACATTTTTTTTTAAATCCTAAGGTTCATGAGGAGTACGTGTGTTTTTAATGATGCAGTTTTATAACATCATGACATAGCATCAAAATCATGATTTTGAAAATAAACTAGAATTTTTAGAGTCGTCCTTAATGAGCCAGGATAATTATTCTGTGGAGTACCAGAAAATTTTGAAAACAAAAATTGCAACTTTGAAGTCCCGTTTCAGGAGAAGATGGCAATTAGCGAATAGACGACACGATCTTTACGAAGAGAAAACGAAAGAATTTATGAATCTATGAATGATTCTTCATCTGATTCTTCATTCGTAATTTAAATACGTACTAAGTACATTTAATTCAATTACTCATCATTTACTTTGAAGAATCAAAGCAACAATAAACGATGATTATAATTTTGGATGATTTTAAGATTGAACGTTTCAAAATCATGTAGTCGTATTAAAAATCGACAAATGATAAAAAAAATCATACTAAATCATGGCCCATGTGTCCCATTAACTATTAGTGAATCATTATTTCATTGTGGGTAAATTTGTATAAAACCACTTTTTGCCGCGTTTGACATGCAATGGCCCCACTGTGAGACGTTGGCCACTGTGACGTGTGCGTGATCTACTGTATCAGTCACCATTTCATCGTACATTCAACTTATTACGTTTGTTCAGGTTACATTTATAATTCCTTATAATAATATTCCTAGCACCTTCGTGTATCTCATTTTGGTCTACAATATCAGTGGTGACGGACAACGGTCTTGGCGTGATACGTGCGGCCATTAAAGTGTTAAGTGCACAAATAGCATCGAGTTACGATCTAAAGACGCAAACGAAAAGAGATAACGCGATAACGACGACAGGGAAATGTAAGCGGCTCGGTACTTTCCGGGTTGATGTTCGTCCACGTCGTAAAACGCTAATCGGCCCTTATTTATACTTTTGTTGCACCCCTCGAGGCTCGAACGATTGTTGGGGAGCGATGTTGATTTTTAATTGTCTCGATAAAGGTTCGAAGTAGATCGAGGAGACGTGGCTGGGCCTGTAATTGATTGTCATCCTGGGATGGCAGGTAACTCCGGCATAAATACGTGTCTCCTGTTCCGCACGGATTCTGCTGATCTTATCGAGGATATCGGTGCGACGTGAACCTGCTGTCTGGCGGATGGCCAATCGACATAATTTTTATCCTCGGTTTTGACGTACAACGCTACTCGTTCGCCGACTCTGCAAAAATCTGCTCGGCTTTGACGCCAACTCGACGCGAGATTAACTATCAAGAGGTAGTAGTTACGATTCTACAAAAATTTATCGGCGTGCATGATCGAGCGACTCATTCTCGAGTAGTTAATTAAAGAAACAAAAGGAAGGGAACACGAATCTTGCGATAGAGTGTCGAGGCAAAGGTAGGATAAAGTTGTCGAGGAAGAAATCTTTGCTGAATAATGCTACGCGAAGTACCTGTCGTCGTCCTCGTATTCTCTCGTAACTTATTATCGAGTGGGATTTTTTAAACTCACCCCGAACGTTCGGTCGATGAAGACGGGCTTCAGGGACGATATGCATAACGGCGATGAACGCTTGTAGCATCAATGGATAGCGCATGATTACAGCCGGATAGCAACTACGCTTTGCAATAAGTACGCGATAGTCAATGGGTCGACAAGTTCCCGTCCTTTAAGCTGTCTATCGCCCGTGAGATCTGGAACAATAAAATATAAGAAATCGTCTACACTATCCCACGATTATCGTACGATATCTACATATTGCCTACAGTTTACGAGCTAATACGGCCCCCAGGGAGGTTCTCGATTTTTAGTAAGCGAGGAAATTAAAATTACATTTCGCAACGAGACGTTTGGAGAGAAACTTGCGGACGCTTTTATAGCAGCTTTGTTCTAAGACGTGTAGGTGCCTTGTTACGCGAGATTTTCATGGTTCGCCAAGTAACGCTCGGTAGTTATGGTAATCGGATTTGGTCGGACCCTGCCAGTCCTATGATTGGATCTGACAACCGTACCGACTCTTTCTCACGGTTTCTCGCAGAATTGTCGGACTTACGCGTGCTTCCATGAACGATTACTCGAAGGACTAAACCGAATTTCCCTTCTTTGTTAATTCAAAACGGTTACTATTAATACAAATTAACGTTAATAAACTATAAAATAAACGTTAATTGTCACGCGGATACATCAGACGGTCGTTCGTGTCGACAGGTATCCCCGTGTCGGTGATAACTGATTTTGTACACAGAGGTAGAGAGTTAATCAACTGACTTTGATTTCCCCAAACCCTTTCAGTATTCCACAGAGTTTCGCAAGCGATGATAGTGAACCGTCTGTGGGAGTTGCTAATTAGAACAAGAATCGATCGTACACGCGCGTTGTAAGCTGTAGAATTTAAACGATACCGCGGAAACGGTTTTATCGCGTTACCAATGATAAATTGAAATAGCTGGTAATAGCGAGAGCACAGCATACGATCTACACGGGATATAATTAAAAATTACCGGAGTTGGAGGCGCATCGATGATGTTACCGCTTTCCAGAACGCGTAATGATAATAATTCCGACAACGATAACGGAAAATGCCCTCGAACGCATCGCGAACATCGATCGGCCGCCGATGCTTAATAAATACGCGGTTTGTTTTATTTCGAGTCGAATCGTTACGCTGAAACCCGTTCGGAACGTTTTAACGCGATCGTGTAAGTACGCGTTTAACGAACAAACCGTCCCGTTCGTATCAGATGCGGCCACTTAGGACGCGACTGCGGAATATTTATAAGAGAGGCGCGGTTTTAAAGCGTCTCCTGTCGTACGGATTGAGATGTCGCGCGTATAATATGCCACACAAGACGAGGATATCGTCGGAGATTAACGACACGAGCAACGAATGCTCGAACGCGCTGAGAAATTCTCCCGACCACCGAACAATCAGTCTTCCTTTGTCCGATTTTTCTCTATTCTATTAAAACAACGATCGTTTTTAGGTACACTCTTTCCCAAGGTAACGTGTTTGCAAACACACAGTGTGTAAAATCGCTACGACTTCCTCGATTTCGAGCAACGTTTGGAGCTCATTTCTCAACATTTCCGAGCAATTATCGATAAATTATCGGTTTTGCCAACGGTGCAATGTAATTAGTTTCCTTTACCGTTGCGCGATTTTAAAACAAACGTTTGACCGGAGCCGTGTTGCAATTTGCAAATACAACAGCGACGTTCGGTCGAATCTCGAATTTCATTATATCCCGTTATTTCTCGTTCATCTCCATTTCGAAATCTGACGATCAACGTCGTTTATATTTTCGTATCGATCGAAAACGTAGTTAAGTATGGCAGTGTAGTAGAAACTATTTTGGCGTTTACGACTTTTGAATCATTTATGACACGCTAGATTTATTGAACTTTTAAGTTGGAAACATTGCCAGTAAAATAATAGTCGGCGAGTTAAAGGTAATCCATTCAAACCTGTTGATTTTCCATGGATTTGCAGCAAAGAGATCGAATGCTCGTCGCCAAGGAGGACGTGTAATTGAAAAGTCGAAGGCGGCGCGAGGTCCACTCGAAAAAGAGACACGTGGGCGGGCGATGTAGACGAACGAGGACGACGGGGACGACGACGACGACAACTCAAGAAAACAGTCCGCGAAGTGAGAGGCACCGGAAATGCATTTGAGTAAATGTTAGACCGCGTGGGTAAGCGCGTGTGAAAATGCGTATGCTCGAGCGAGAAAGCGAACAAGCGAACAAGCGGAACAACCAACGGACCCGTTCGAACGGGATTTACTCCTACGAATACGTATCGACGCTCGCCTCCGACTAATTCGCTAATGTTAATAGCAGTTAATTGACAGGCTGCCGAGACTGAGAACGCCGGAGTCGTTCGAGACGAAAGCGGCGCGGCTATCTCGATCGTTGTGCAAGCAACCCATACGATTTACACGTTCGGTAAATCGATTTTTATCCAAATCGTACGCGACAAATCTATTATTTCTATTTTTTCGCGAGCACGCAACTAGACCGCCTTTTTATTTCCCCGATACCAATCAGTGGAACAACGTCTATAATATCTAATTATATATCGCAACGAACCAAATAATTCAATTACACAAACTGTTTATTACTATTATTATTATCAGCAATAATCACGTACGCGGACAGAATAATTAATATTTACGTGCGCGATAACACGGCACGAAAAATAACTTTGAATTTTTGTTAAGATTCGAAGAAACTTTTACCCCTCCGCGTTGCGCATCTTGGATGTTCCAGAATAGAAAACAGCGTATCACGCGCGTCAGCTTAACAATTTTCATTCACGAACGGCCGACGTTTCGCTTCTGCGAGCATAATAAAGATGCCCGGCGAAGATGAATGCAGAAGTTTAATTAATATCGGTGAAACGTAAGAAAGGGACGCACTGGCCACAGGGTTGTAACGCTCCGGGCAATGATAATAAAGCCACTCCCTGTCAGACTACAATCGCGATTCCGTACTTTATAATCCCCCTTTCAGCGGAGGCTGATCAACTTATTCGCATGCGGACCTTCCTATCATCTTTTAGTTACTTTAATTTAGTCTCTAAGGCTCGTTCCACGACGCCACTTTTCCGCTTTGATTCGTCTTTCGGACCCGGTTCGCGAGATCCTCGCGGAGGACTCTCAAACTAATTTACGCGCAACGAATGTGCATCTGGTTTTGATAATGCAATATACAGGGTGTTCAAAAAAACCATTCAATATTTACATGGTATATAGGATACACTGTACTGAGTAAAAAAGCTTTAGTAAACATAGGTCGAAAGGTCAACCGTTTTTGAGATATAAACATTTTTGCTTGCTAGTATCATGATTGACTTAGTTGCTTATTTCAACTTCTTGGTGAATACATTACCTCAGTACTTGGATGATATGCCTTTAGCAGAAAGATTATCGATGTGGTACATGCATGATGGGGCGCCACCTCATTTTGTACGTAATGTGCCTCCTCGATCCCCCGATTTAAACCCTTTGGATTTCTTCTTATGGGGATATGTAAAAAGCCTAGTGTATTCCTCTCCGATAAATGACTTAGAAGAATTACGTAAACCATTCTTGTCAAACAATTCGACGGAAATGTGGAATTTTCGGAAGAGTTCGCGATTCTGTAAAAAGAAGACGCCAAGCGTGTGTAGAAATGAAAGGTGGCCACATGGAAAATCTTCTGTAACCATCGAAAATTCAGTAGTATGTCAATTATGATAATAGCAAACAAAAATGTTTGTATCTTAGAAACGGTTGACCTTTCGACCTATATTTAATAAAGCTTTTTACTCGGTACAATATATCCTATGTACCCTATAAATATTGAATGGTTCTTTTAAACACCCTGTATATACAAGGCGTTCGGCCACCCCTGGGAAAAATTTTAATGGGACATTCTAAAGAGTAAAATAAGACTAAAATCAAGAATAGTTGTTCTCACCACAGGCGAGATATAAGAGTAGACTTTACATCTAATGTATTTTTTCGGCCCATTTTTCCGGGGCTGTAGAGCTCCATTAATACGCATTGTTTGAATTTTGAAACATTAAAATCCCCCAATCCATTCAGGAGTTATGATGTTTTAAACATACGCATGAAATTTCAGTAGAACGTGACATCTGGTCAGACATTAGATTTTCGGTAAGGAATTTTTTTTCTCGAAAGTGAGTAGGATTTCAGTGGCATGTCTATTCACCAAAAATGATTGCAATTGACCCCTGCAACCAAAAATAATTTTTCCAAAATGATTTGAAACTTTTTAATTTAATTCTTTAATAACATTTTAACGAAGCCTCAATCAAGAAATTGATATTCTTGATTTTCGTCTTATTTCAGCATCTAGAATCTTCCATTAAAGTTTTTCCCAGGGGTGACCAACACACTCTATACAGGGTGTTAAAAAAAAACCATTCAATATTTATAGGGTATATAGGATACATTGTATTGAGTAAAAAAGCTTTATTAAACATAGGTCGAAAGATCAAAAGTTTCTGAGATACAAACATTTTTGTTTGTTATTATCATAATTGACTTACTACTGAATTTTCGATGTTTACAGAAGATTTTCCATGTGTCCACCTTTCATTTCTACACAAGCTTGGCGTCTTCTTTTTACAGAATCGCGAACTCTTCCAAAAATTCCCCATTTTCGTCAAATTGTTTGACAGGAATGGTGGATTCGATTACGTAATTCTTCTAAGTCATTTATCGGAGAGAAGTACACTAGGTTTTTTAAATATCCCCATAAGAAAAAGTCCAAAGGGTTTAAATCAGGGGATCGAGGAGGCCATGCAACTGGTCCACCACGTCCAATCCACCTTTAACCGAACACCATGTTTAAATGGTCTCTCACATTACGTACAAAATGAGGTGGCGCCCCATCATGCATGTACCACATCGATAATCTTTCTGCCAAAGGCATATCCATCCAAGTACTGAGGTAATGTATTCACCAAGAAGTTGAAATAAGCAACTAAGTCAATCATGATACTAGTAAACAAAAATGTTTATATCTCAAAAACGGTTGACCTTTCGACCTATGTTTACTAAAGCTTTTTTACTCAGTACAGTGTATCCTATATACCATATAATTATTGAATGGTCTTTTTTTAACACCCTGTATATGTATGTATATATCCGGTACTTGGCGCATAATTTACGTTAGTTCCTGGACGATGGCGACACGTATGTACGCCTGCGCCGAAAAACAAACGGCTACGCCGTCGAATAAAGCGTGATTCACGCCTACTCGGTACGCGATGCAAATCGGAATTTATTCCTTCCGCGCTTCCTTGCGCGACTATATGCCTGAATAATCCCATTAGACGTCACGGCGCGGCGGGAATTTATTTAAACTCGCGGGAAACTATGATCGTTTACGCAGGGTTTTCCAACGAGACCGACGAGAACTTTGTATAGAAGCAAAATTAAAACTACGAGATACAATCTGGCGCTGATTTGTTTTGATCTACGTTCGACGAAATGCAGTATCGTTTAAACGCCCACTACGATTACGTTCGATAGAGCGAATACGACGAGTCGAATTTTTTTCGTTCGTAATGTAGCGAGATCGGGCCATGCGCGAATCGGCTTTCAAAGTTCATCAGGATTACGAGTACGGAGGCGACCGCGGTCCCAGGGTAAATATTCAAGTGTGATTTATGCGAGGTATGCGACCACAAAGATACACGCATCGGCTGAGGCGCCGCGTCGCGATCATTGTTTCTCGAGTGATCGATCCAAGTAGAACAGAAAGTTTATTTACGCGTTCGTTCAAGGAATGTCGCGACGCCCTTTTTCTCCGCGCCTTTCGAAGGGATTCTCAAATATTTATGCGCGAATGTTCCGTCGCGTACGAAGGAAATAAACATCGGTGTTCCTTAATGGGAAGCTAACGAACGCGATACATCGGTATTGTAAAAACAATCTACGCGCACCGGTTCGTTCGTGTACAGACGAGGAATAAATTTAAATAATTCTCCAGATACTTCGCCCTCCCATTTTAACACATAAAATCCTCGAATAGAAATGTTATTTGAACGAATTTATGCTGGCCCATTAAGATATAACGCGCGAATTTCACATGTATAATTTATGCGATGTTTATCGCGCGGACGTAAACAATTATTTCAAGCTGTAAATGCGTTAACGAGAATGGAACGAATTTGTGCATCGTTCGCTCTTGGAAATATTACCGCGTATTTATACACGTTTTAAGCCCGTACACACGCGCGAATAATTAATCAATTTAATGGCATGCTCCCTTTGTACATTAACGAGCGACGATTTTTAAATTAACTCATTGAAACGCGCGTTTCTGAATTTTCCAGTTCGTAACCGCTATTCTAGTTCGTTTGGTAGAAATCCTCACTCTTTTTCGAGACAAAGATGCTTTCAAATTCATTTAGAAATCTGTAATTCGTCCAACGATCGGATCCTTTTCAACAATTTATCGGCCAATGTGATCGATTTATGAAATTGTGAATAAATCGTGTTAATGGATACCGTGTAACTTTACAATCGTGTAATAACATATCGTATAAAAGGAGGGTCTGGTATACCTTATTATATTACAGAGGCAATAAATTCAATAACTCTGTTATAATAATTTCTCAAATGACGAGCTGCCCGTATGTTAATAAGAGTCGCCTGTACGTTTGTCTGATTACGTACGTACGATATATCGTTTCTCAGATATCTAAAAGGGAATTCCGATTACTACGGTGCAACCTGATATTTATTAAAATTGTTGAGGCGATTGGCCGCCGAAGGGATAATCTTGCACTGCTTACACATTAACGATTCTTTGAAAAGAAGCACGAGACTCTGTATCGTAAGATGCATCTGCGGTACCTTCGCGTATGGCCCGTCTTAACGATTTAATAATTGCCCCTGTCCCTTCGTATTCGAGACAACTCGGTCATTAAGTGCACCGTAATTCGTAATCTCCGGATTTGACCAGCGGCTTGACAAGGTTAACGGGAACCACCCGATCCCGTGTGCTTTCACGTTTTCATTAGCGTGTAACAACGTAATGATCCGAAGGAAGCGTCCCGTTCGCGTTGATTTGTTCGGCACAGGGATACGTAACATAATCACGGGACTTCGCACAAAACAAGACATTAACCCATTTCGAGCGAAGGTTACGCAATCCGAGGACTATGCACGAAGAATTTAATGAATTTCTACCTTTGTTGCAACTAATTTTCAATCATCGATACCGATATCCCACAAATGATTGCACAGTTACATGTTGTAACGTTTTTGTTATTTTTAATCTTTCAAGGTACGAATTGACCTGTGCATATAGGCCGTACGTTCTAATTGCTCGAAAAAGCACGAGAAATGTTTGGCAACGCGAAAATGTATATCTTTCAGACATGCAACTTTAATTTCGATTCCTATATACCTATAGATGATTCGTACGTATTCAAGTTTTTATCGACAATTAACTCCTGCACACTTAACACGGGCTCTCGTTTACATACATACAGAATTAGAAGCGATGAAGTACTCCTCGTGGAACGACGCTTATTCGCCGCAGAATGTGGGATAGTATGTTTCGTATACAATAGTATACTTCAATAGTTACTATAGCCTCAAAATAACTGAAATCTGGTGCTACAAGTAAAATGTGGACACTCACGAGCAATTTTGTCTTGCGATGGCTGACTGTAACGTCTGACCATATATGGGTTGCACGATAGGTCTGCTCTTTTGATCAGCGAGGAAGGACAACATTGGACTGGAGAAACATTTTGAAAAATTGTTTTCATGAAATTTTAACCGATTTAATGGACTCAAACGAAAATTTATATTCAACTCCCCTAACATTTACGAACGATGTTGGGCAAATGTTGGGTACATCGACGAATAAATTTACGAACAGAGACGGAATCACCGTGTCGTTGTACACGAACAAAGGTCTAGTGTCCTCTACAAGCGTTTCGCGTTCGACGTACTAGCATGTACCGTAAATAAGCAAGCGTTCGAGACTTCGTTTAAGACATCGTTAATAGAATGTCTGTGTCGAGGGTTAATTTGCGTATCGATATAATAACGGATCGGTCGTGCGGTCGTTATTACAAGAAGTGCACGTTTCACTTACGCAGGGGGAACGCTTTTTATCAGTTTTCAGGAGAACTCGCGATATCTTCGGGCGAATCCGTCGGTTCTGTTCTGTTCGCTCATTATTCCACAGCGTATTACAAATTTTTATCCCCCTTAATTTTCTTTAGCTACAACGTAATAAGTTTACGTGGTCGTTTATGTTAGAGAAAAATGCTCTTGACTTTCACCAGTTTGAACGATTATTTTTCTGTAGAATAATTTGAGGACAAGCACGTGGAAGCAAAGCACGCGATAGCCGAGTCAATCCTAAACTTCGATTGCTACAAGGTTTTCTAATTCCCAAATTCGACGATTCTGTTTATAGAGCCACTTATACATAAGCGAGTTTCATTTTGTTGGCAAAGGCACCAGGATGAGAGCCCATTCAGCAAACTCATCACCGATCCTCGAGTTAACTGGATCTTGCAAGGACGAAGACCCGAATCTTCGCGCAGAATTCGCAATATTCTCTGCGCTTGTTGCTCTTTGAATATCACGATGATTCGTAAAGCATTAACGAGTACAAACGTCACGTGACACGACGAAACAACAAATATGGTGACTACGACGATCGAAAGTTCTGTCGCTCTCGTTGGAAAACCCTACGAACAAGCAAACAACATAGAAGCGGGAGCCGACGGCAAACGCCTTCCACGATGTTAATCCAGCGCACGTGACGAGTGTTCGAGCATGTTAAAAATAATATTCGAACGCCATTGATCGCTCGTCGAACCGGTGAACGTTTAAAAGGTGAGGTAATTGAAACTGGAGGAATAAAGATAGCACCAGGGGCGTGGTATCCTTTTGTTTAGGTGAACCGAAATGGAATCGAACATCGATGTAATTGGTAGTTGGTACCGGTTTGGTTAATGAACAGGAAGCGGCGTAACGCGATGGTTAAATCGCGTGGCCAAAGTACGTACCCACCGATCGTCGTGTTTCCGTTCAGCACGTGGTGGCGGCGGTTGTGGCGGCAGCGACAGTGGCGACGGTGCACTATCTCGAAACACCTGCGCTCACGTTCTCCGCACAAACTATCCCGTGGATGTAGCACTGACGGCGACAGGCGCGCCGAGATGCTCTGGCCTCCCCCGCTTCTTGGACGAACGTTCGCGCGGTAAGGTTCATCGGGTCCGTCGGTTCATCGTCTAACAGTTCACTTTTCGCCGGAAGTGACCGGATCTGAAAACGCGCTTGCGGCCGTGTCCGTGTCCGTGTCCGTGTCCGCGCCCGCGCCTCGGAACAACGGACCCGTGGGGGAGGGCCCGCTACGCGAGGAGGGGATGTGCGTGGGACCGCCGCGAGCCAGGAGAGGGAGAAACGGAGTGACGGAGAGAGAGTGAGACACGAGAGACGCGAGAGCAGCGGTGAATCGTCGAAAAGAGTGGGACCAAGGGAGGGAGCAAGGGAGGAAACAGGGTGAGAAAAGAAAGGGGGAGGTATTTGTGGTGCATAGACCCTCTGGTGACGCGGGGAGGTGGAAACGTCGTGAAAGAGAGCGAAAGAGCGGGATAAAGAGGGAAACAGAAATGACGGAACACGGATGCCGGTCCGGCGGAGAAGCCGTGGGCACGGTCGCCGTCACAACACTAATGGTCCGCTACACTCTTCCGATGGTCTATGTACACACGATCCTCCTCTCCGTCTTGTTTCCTCTCTGCTCGGCTGGCCCTGCACTCGCCCTCCTTCCGCCTCCCCCGTCGCGACGAACGCGTATGGTACGTCCGTACGATACACGGATTACGTGTAGCCTCTACTGCGCGCTCGCGATCTCGCCCCTCTTTTCCGCCTCCTCCGGCTCGGTTACGCTGGAATGAGAACTAACTCGGTGGTTCCCTCCTACCTTGGTCTGCCGCAAAAGCACGGACCAAGAACCGAGAATCGAGACAGGGCAATCTACTAGGTAAGACTAGTTCCTCCACCCAGTCGTGGACCCGTTTTCTGTCCGGCCACTCTCCCTTCCTCTTTCTTTCGGTCCATCTCTCTTCCAGTCCGATCCCTCTCCCCTCGCTCTCTCGCCTTCGCCTCTTATCCGTTGCTCTTTTTACCGGTTCGTGTCTCTTGTACGTTCCTCTCTTTCCCTCTTTCTCGATCTTCATTGCCCTCTCCTGTGACTTGTGCTCTCCTTCCCGCGTCTTTCGTCTTTGGTCCGAGGAATCTGTCTCCCTCTACTTCTTGCACCACCGTCCACGCCGCTTCATCTACGCCGGGGTGTTCGATACACGTATAATCAACAGTTTATTTAGCGATTTTTCTCCACGATCCTTCATCCGTAAACTTATTTCATCCATAAACTGGTTCTACGAACCACCGGAAACAACTTTTCGCGATCCATTGTCGTAATGTTTCTGAAACGAAAATCGCTCGGCGCAAGACCCGACGAGCACCGTAGGTGTTATGCTGCAACGTCCGTGCAAATTGAAAAAAACTACGAGGACGACTCTTTCTACTATTCGATCAAGGAAACTGTCCTTTCGTTCTTTTAAAATGAAATTGAAAAAATGGTGGGTAGATCAATGTTTTGGATCGTGACTCCATCGGGCCAAGAATTATCCGATCTACGTCGTGTTTGGACTCGTTTTGATCGACTGCCTTCCAACGATGTATCGGTACCACGTTTATGTAAATATAAATCTTGTCACAAAATTTTCATTTCATACTTATGGGACACCCCTGATACGCGTTGCTCCGTTCGCTACTTTTCCAAGTTCTCTCGGCCTCTTCTCTCGTAGGTAGGTCCTTGTTCTCCGGTTCCAGACATCTCCGATCCTGTAACGCTCCTCGTCCGTGCAACTTTGTTCGTGAATTTATTTACACGTCGCGTCTCGCTATCGCGCATTGCGAAATTCATTCCCTTTTCTCCCTCCTCCCCCTTGTCCCGAGCTTTGCTCCAGCTTCGTTTTATTCCTGGTTTTCGTTCACCGTATACGCGCGCGTCAAGTTTCCAACGTGTATCGCGCCTATCTCTCTCCTTATTCCTCTTCGCTCCTCGCGTCTGTCCTCGCCGTTTCTTCTTCGAATTTTGTTCCCGTTTGTTTTGCTTTTAATTCGTTTTGCTCGGCACAGATTGCGTGTGCGCGCACCGTGCGCATAAATCTCTCCACTGTCGCGAATTTTCTCTCTTTCCGACGTATTAAAAAGGATTAGTTTGCTTCGCCTTTTTGTCGAAGACGAAACGTTCCCTTTGGAAACACGCGTGTAATTAAAAAAATTTACTGTAGAACGATAGTAAATTTGTAACAAACAGACGAATCGTATAACGTCCTTCCTCGATGATACAGGGAATGTTCAGGGGGTTGGTAATCCTGAGTGTTCATCCCTCGGTACGACGATACAAGAAATATAAAAAAACGCGTGTATAAATATTTATACATATATCGTAGTATGTTTATTCGTATGAAATCTATACAAAACCGTATTCCTTGTCATTTTATGTTTTTTTTCCTCTGCATCTCGATTTATCGGGACTGTCTTGGTCCCGAGGAAGCCGGTTAATCGAGGTTCTTACTGTATTTGCAATGTGCCCGCTCGCAAAATCAAAAGAACTCTGCTACACGTGCGAATAAACTTCGAATCGTCGAGATCTATGTTTCTTGCCTGGTGTTACACCCTGGGGAATAAACGATAAATATTCTCTTTCTTCGCTGTCTCCGAGATTGGCTACGTTCTTTCGACGAGTTCATAAATACCGGGGAACGATCGATTGTTTCTTTCGATCCCCGCGCCGTTTCGCAAATCAGCATAAATTTGCCGTAGCATGGTTCACTGCTGTTATTGTCATCCGCGATCGTACGCTACCTTTGTCATCGAAGCTTCGAATCGCGATTTGTGGATCCGTTGCACGTTCTACGAGATTTCTTACCTTAGAATATAGATTTTATCTAACGAATTACATCCCTACTCGATCGATGGTTTACGGAACTCTCGCGTAATAGTCGAATTGTTATCAACGATATGCTTTTGTTTCAAATGGAAAACTTTCGTTACCAACTTCGAGGCAGTCCATAAATTAGGTAAAGCTTTTAAGGGAAGGTGGAGGAGTTGGAATTTTTCTTGCATTTCCTTACAAAGGGAACGGTGGAGGATTCAAATTCCATTTTACGTAAGACCTTTTACGCTTCACGGCGAGTACAATTTTAAAAAGAAATTGTTCCCTCGTTGCTTTTTTTACTTGTTATTAATTGCTGTGTCGCAAAAAATTTCAACTATTAAAAGAATTTAATCTACGACAAGGAGGACAATTACGTAAGATAGAGGTAAGAAAAATCTGCTAATTTCTTATGCAGCGGGATGGATAAAAATCTCGCGGAAAAGCTTAACGTAATTTATGGACAGCCCCTAGAGCCGATACAATTTGTCAAGCGAAGGACAGAGTGCGATCGATGTTCATACGATCGTTTTATTCACGCTGTTTAATGTTCTTTTTGCTTTCGCTAACGATTCAAGTAATAGGCCAAAGAAAATATAATAGTCCAGATACGACGTCCAAATACTGTAGGATTAGAAATGTGAAATCTATCCCTTTATTTGCAAATAAATACAATAAACATATAGCTTTAATAATTGTAAAAACACACCGTAACATATAACACAACGTAACGTATAACATCCGTGTTGGAAATCCTATAAATACAATACAAAACTGAAACGACTAATGTTAACCTTTTGACTGCGGCGCGTCCTAGGAAGAATCCATCAACATAGATGGCGCGATCGTCACATGCCTGTCGCTGCGACTGGTGACCAAAAAGTACCCGGAGATTTAAGAGACCATTCTTGCGGTTTAAAAAAATAATAAATGCAAATAAATTAAAATATCCAATTCCATATCGAATCAATTGGTAAAACAGTAAAAGGTGTTATAGTAAAAAAATGCAGAGGGCGTAAATTTAAGCTTTTCGTATATATTGATGGATACGTGAGGGCGTATATTTACGTCTTTCGTATATATTGATAGACTTGTGAAAGCGTATATGTATATACGCCTTTAGCAGTCAAAGGGTTAAATAGGCGTTATTGTACCTGTGGATGTATAAAAGAATTCACCTGATAGATTCAGGAATATCCAGAATCTAGATACGTACAGGTCGAACAAAAGTATTGGCACAGACCGTATTTTCAAATAAAATGTTATGTAGCTGTGAATAAAGCACAATATCTTCTTTATTTTTGGTATAAAATGTAAGTTTGAGGTTTGAACTTTAAGTATCTCTATTTACTAAGTTTGTCTGTAATAAAGTGAATAACACAACAATGTATGCAATTAGAGAGAAAAATTATATTAAAATTATCAAAAGAGAGAAATTCATATTCTACAATAGCTAAAATAGTAAATAGAAGTCGTTTCACCGTAAGAAATATCATTAAACGGTTTCCTGACGAACAAAATGTAAAAAATCTTCCTCGAAGTGGTCGTCCACAGAAATTATCAGAACGAGATAAACGAAAAATTACCAAGATTGTAAAAAAATATCCTAAAGTTGCCTCTACAGAAATAGCTGCACAAATGAAAAGTGAAAATAAGGTAGATGTAGATCTTATAACTATCCGGAGAGTTCTTAAAAGTGCCGGGTACAATTCAAGAGTGGCTAGAAGAAAACCATTGATCAGCAAAATTAATCGAAAAAACAGATTAGAGTTTGCAGAGATGTATGTACACAAAAATTTAGAATTTTGGGATAGAATACTCTTCTCTGACGAAAGTAAATTTAATATTTTTAAATCTGATAGTCAAATAAGAATATGGCGAAAGCGTAATACCGAGTTGGATTCACATAACATAGTCTCAACTGTTAAACACGGGGGTGGTAGTGTATTAGTATGGGGTTGTATGAGTTCCTCTGGACTTGGAGAACTAGTTTTTATAGACGGTATTATGGATAAATTTGTATATTTAAATATTTTGAAACAAAACTTAAAAAAAAGTGTGGAAAAATTAAATCTTGGGGAAAACTACTATTTCCAACAAGATCATGATCCCAAGTATACTGCTTATATTGTCCGTCAATGGATCGTTTTTAATACACCCCATACATTGCCAACCCCTCCTCAATCGCCGGATTTAAATCCGATTAAACACATATGGAATGAGTTAAAAAGAAGGATCCGAAAACACCTTATTCAGACAAAGGAGCAATTAAAAGATGCACTTATGAAGGAATGGAACGAAATAGGTTTAGAAGTAATACAAAATTTAGTACATTCGATGCCTAATCGGTTACAAAGTGTAATAAGACAAACAGGATTACAAACAAAATATTAATTTGAATATTGTATTATAAAATAGTAAGTGTGCCAATACTTTTGTTTCGTCGAAAACTGCCCTGTATGTGTTTATTACTATTTTTTATTATTACAGGTCTACTTAATCGCTTTGTTTCGCGAGATACTTATAGTTCAAACATCAAACTTATATTTTATACCAAAAATAAGGAAGATATTATGCTTTGTTCACAGTTACATAACATTTTATTTGAAAATACGCTCTGTGCCAATACTTTTGTTAAAAAACAATAGACAGCGTCCTAACAACCGCTACAGCGAGGCGTGATTACTAATAAATGTTTATCGTTATACGAATGTCGTTTTGAATATATCCCATAATATCCAATAATTCGTAAATACAACGTATAACATTCGTAATCGTAACGTTCACCGCAACAGACTTTGCCGTAAAATCCCCTCTTGTCTCCCAGACGCGTCCTTTTATTCCCCGGCTCTCAAACATTTGCCGGATTCACGTCCGGTAAAGCTTCGAGAACGTTCTCGTTGTTTCGCATCAGTGTTTCGTTACTATGGTTCACGCACTCATACATTGAATCATTCAATCATTCAATCAGAGTCGACACATTCAGTTCACTCAGCTGTTCCCCACAATCGATGCGATTCGACGAAGAACGCTCATTACAATACTACAATAATTACAAGTACTTGTATTACTTATTTACTGCTGGTAAATTCCATTTTTCAAAGAACTATGCTTCGCGTGCACTATCCTAAACGCAACCATTCGCGGGAATTTTCTGCACAGAGTTGCGGTCGCTTTCGCTGGAACGCAACGTCACTCGATACGATAATTGCGCATTTCAGGAATCTCACGTTACACGAATACGATTATGAGAACGTCGTTGAATGGAAACAGCCATCACGCGGGGCAATTTTCTCTGCGCTCGAGCCGCGTAAGAAAAACACTTGTTGCGACAGAATTAATTGTCGCCGAACGATTACTTGGATCGAAACAACGCTTTAGGATAAATATGATCTGTATGGAACGCGCGAACATTGAATTTGCCTCAAGGTATTTTCGAGCCGTTCGAACAGCGAACGTAAGCGTAAGGTATGAAAATTCTTATCTTACGTTTCCCAAATATATTCGTAAGAAAGAGCACGAACCAACCAAATAGGTATTCCTCGCGGTTAAGCGCAATAATACGACGCTTTCTCGGTGTTTGATGGTAATCTGTTTTTGTCGCACCAAACACCAGATATCGCGCCGAGTTTCCGACTACTTTAATGCCCTTTTTATTTCTCTGCTGGTTCTTAGCGTTTCTTGATCTCTTCTAGATAATGTCTTATCTTGTCTCCGAAAAAAGTTAGTTGCCCCAAGATTTCTCCCCTCTTTTTGCCATCTTGGTTCGCAAAGATTTATCTCCATTGAATTTCAGACCTCTTTTCACTCCTCTACGGTTCCACCACCTTCCAAGGATTTCCTTTTTTACCCCGTTTTCTTCCAATTTGGTTTAGTCGCTGTTCATTCGTCATCGAAGATTTGTTCGCGACGCCGAGAATCACTCCCGGTGTATCCGAAATTGTCGTATTTCGAAGGTAATGCTTTGTTAATTGTCAGCGAAAGATGTACGACGTTTGAAACGACTCTCTTGATAATAAGCACCTAGTAGCTATTCATACGGTCTACGAACTCGTTCGCGTGGGTCGACCATCCATGGATTTTAGAATCGATACGACCTTCTGCTGCAGCAGCTGCTAGCAAGATCAACTGGAGCACCGGCACGGCGCGTTCATTATACGTATTCTCGCACAACGCTTCAAATTGCATCAAACGTGTCACGCGATAAAATATCTGTTATCGATTTCAGGATAAAACAAGATTGATCGAACAAGACGGGGATCGTTGCACAAGAATCGTATCATCGACTCGGTTGAATCAAGATGATTTATTTCGAACTCGATCAAAATGTTCTCCACTTACGATTCAAATTGCGTTACATTTTCAGAAACGATGAACGAGTCTTGAAGGGTGTTAGGCATCGCGTTCAATCGATAAACAATATTCGTAAACGTCGTGTTTCCGCGAGTGGAAGACGGCAAAAGCGAGTGGCATTCGTCCGTTGGCGAATCGAGCGACGGATAAATAAAATGGCGCGCACGGACCACCCACTTCGTATTCGCGATCGGCGTCGTTTCCGCTCGACTCGAGAAAACGCAACGACTCCAAGTAAGATTCGTTTGCTCTCGCGTATGACAAACGATCCACCATAACGTCGAATTAACTTCGAACCGGTCGGTGTGCGTTTGATTGAGTCTATCGGACCGTATCCGCCAGGATGCATTGAGTTTCTACACTCGACAGTAATCAATCGACTGTAAAATACTTGCAAGTAGGGTAACGCGATCCAGTCGGCGATCCAACTTTTTTTTCACGCGACGTCATACGTCAAATTCATCCGTAATCGACAGTCCCATTGATCCGATTTTTTTCCAACTCTAGATTTATTATTGTATAAATAACGTAGTTACAATAAATATTTTTTAACGATTTATATTGAATTTAATCGACGTAACGTTGCGAACGAATCGAATCGTTCCATCGTTCTTCGATGCTTAAAAAGCCTCTCTGGAAAGGCGTGGAAATTGGAAAGATTTATTATCGCATGAATCGTCCGGAAGATATTTCCGCCGAAGAGTCGGCGCCGTGCTTTTCTTTTCATCGATTCACGAGTAGATTGCGACCAGAGATGAAAAATGGATAATATATCGTAACATTAAGCGCGAAAGACAGTGACTAAATATAGAAAGAATCTGAAACTAAGTTTAAACTTCTTACGAACGGGGACAATTCCGGCGAGTGTTTAATGGATCGAGCCTGGAGTTTATACATTGTTCAGCCGTTAGAATTCAACCGAACGATCGGACAAAAGTCTATTGCAAACGAGCGGACCGATCGAAATCTATCCTGCAAACAAAACGGTCAGTCGTATTTGACAACAGAAGAATTCCATCGGGACAAACGCAGAAACTCGAACTTGATCGTTCGTTCAACTTGTTCTTCAATAGACTTTTACGTTTTCAAACAAATCTCTATGGCTTGCAAACAACAAAGTCACTCGACACGCTACGCACGTCATTTAGGCGATATATTTATAGCGATTTAACGCGAAATCTTTATCTAGACGCTTCCGTCGATCCTGATGCGTCGAATATCCCTTCCACCACTAACGGACTTAATTATTGCTCGGCCAATGACCGGTTGTCATCGACAGCCACGGTGACGAACGCGAACGGACCACCCCGAAGCATCCAGACGGACATACTCTCGTTGCTCGTTCGACAGAGACGAGCAAGCAAAAGCTGGAGCGGGTTTTACGCTGCTCTGTTACCGGATTACGTAAATAGGATGCACCCAGCAGTTGTTCTTTTTGTTTCTAATAAATCAACACGACCACCGTGAGCTTTGGCGACGCGCAACCAAGCAGGAGGTAATTTGATGTATCGATGAGATTTCTGAGAGGAAGACGCACCACTTAATAATAACAATAATAATTCCTTAATCAACGGATAAAGCAATTGCGTTAAAACACAGTTGATAGAAAAAAACAGCGAGGACCAGTCGGCCTGACGCGACTCCAAAGTCACCTGAAATCGATCGATGGGCTGATCGAGACCATATTTGGACCGATTCGAGTATAACCACGGAAAGAATTACAATTGTATTCGACGCAACGGGTGAACCGATCGTGTGACCACCACTCTCCGTGACACCAACGAAGAATGCATTGATTCTCTCAAACGCGAAGAGAAAATCATTTTTTAATAAAAGCTTAGTTAGGAGCAATAGCGTGTAATGCACGTACCGTTTCCTCGGTGATTCGAATAATGAAATGCTTTCGGTAACGCGAAACCACTTGTCGTTCGGTTTCGAACTAAGTGCAACAAGTGTACTCGAAACGATTGTCGTTAACCGAACCTGAGCGTAAAATTGAACGAGTATCGACTTCGATAATGCGAACGGTAATATCGCGGTGTCGCTTTTATCTTTGTTCGTGGTTCGTCGGCCCGTGAACCCATAACAGCGAACCATGCTTTTTGCGGTTCGCGTTTCAATTTATATTTACCGTGCTTCGCGTTTCTCTTAAAAGGCTTTTCCACCCCCCGAGTATCGACTCTGTTCGCGAGGAGTGAATTGACACTCTGGCGGCCGCGCGATATTCGATATCGGATTCGAGGAATTCGATATTCGCCCTCGCTCGTAACAGAGTAAATTGTCCCTCGACTTATCGATAAGATACTTCTCGACCGCGAACAGTGATCGATTGTCGTTTCTTGCTAATTGTCGACAGGGACTGGAAATATTAATTGCCCTTAAATTCCTGTTATTATCGATCGTACGAAGACTTTGGTGGATCGATGTTTCTACGAAAAAATAGATATTAAATCGAACGTGGAAGTGGACGCAGCGCGGAATTGATCCGTGGCGTTGGCCGGAAACAATTGCGCGGGGATTTCGTTGTTCCCGTAGCGTTGGCCGACTTCAGGAGATGGTACGCGAAAAATTAGCCTGTCATGAACGGATTCCAAGCACTTCTGACGTTCTTCTGCATTCTCGTGACCGCGGACAGTGATCTACTCGATAAGTACACGCGCGTCCCCGGAAACGTATACCATGGTAGGTAAGTGCATACGCGAATCGTAGAGGTTATCGATCCACCGCTGGAAAATCCTCGAGAGTCGATGCACTCTCGTCTCGCGTCGATCAGAGCTTCCTCCTAGATTCCATCGTGTCTTCTGGCCATTCTGGCCACGCGAGTACCGGCGTTTCGACCGAAAAATCCACCGTATCTTTCTCGTCGCGTTCTTTCGTTGTTAAGACGCGCGTCGCCACGGAACGATCGCTCCCGGTCCAGTCGAGATTTACGACGCTTTGTCTTTGCGAACGGGTGCGCCATTCGCGATAATAGATAGATAGATACGTTGATTTATTGACTTGGGACCGTATCTCGTAAGAATTCGAAACGGTAACAATTTTCGAGAGACAAAGCCAGCGGTATTAACGCCGTTCTAATGCGTAGAGCGTTTAGAAACATAATAACAACGAACGTAACGCGAAATTGTCTTCCAGCGGCGGAGTTGCGTCGTTCACGGAACGCCCTTTGATCGAAACCTCTTTCTTCCGTGATATTTACCGGTTCAGGTACACGAGAGACGTCCACGAGCCGCAGTTCCTGATACCGAGACGGGTGCACGAGGATGGTAGGTTCGACACGTACCGTCTGCCGAAATTCTACGACCAGCGGGAGACGAACGAGCGCGGAAAGAGGTCGACCGAGGAGGAGAGGGACCCCGAGGCTAATAAATTACACCTGGTGCTGGCTTTCAACGGGATCGAGCACCACGTGGAGCTGAACCCGTACCACGAATTCATCTCTCCTGACATGGTGATCGAAACGCGAGGCTCCGGTTTCAGGAGCAACCTGAACGAGGCAGTGCGATTCAAGAGAGCCCCTGATCGACAGTGCCATTATCGGGGCTTCGTTAGGGGCCACCACGCGTCCAAGGCTGCCCTGTCTTTGTGCGACGGCGTGGTTGGTACACTTCTCTTCCTTTTGTAATTTCGTTCCCTGCCCCTATGATTGGCCACGGCTCGTCGCACACAAGAAATATCCATCTGAAACAAACGTTATCGGTTGCATTAGTTTACGTCCACGAAATCTTTTTGCAAAATCCGCTGAACGAGGTCGTAACGTTGGTTTCTCCGAGGCAAACGGAGCCTCTTATTACGCGTTTAATCACGATGCAAATTAATATAACGCTTTGCATACAGATCGCCGCCGTTGCTCGCAAACGTCGTCGATTCGGCGAGCCGATTGATCGTAAATTTTTTATTGAAACGAGCCGACGCGACGTCGCGCGCCCACGTTCTCCCGGACCGTTCGCCGGCGATTCAGAATACCGGATTCACGGGTAATTCAACGGCGCTCTTGCCGAGAATTGTACCGAAATGGCGTGCCAGCTTTCAGCTTGACGCAATTGCCGCGGCGCGTTGCGAGACGCGATCTGCATAATCTCCTCCTCCCGTTGACAACTAATTCTACTCGTCGTAGGGGTTCGTTGAAAGCAACGCGATGATGGGCCACTGTACATGGTAATTCGTAAACATGAATTTCAAATCGCGTCCACGTGTACTTTTCCACCGATTTGCTCGAGCGAAGGGACGACAGGTAGGCTGAGCCCACGAAAAGAACGAAGATTAATAAACCACAGACAGTCTTTAACAGATCGGTTCTCGTTCGTCGTTTAATGAACAAACATTTTATTTCTTAACAGAGATCGTATCGGTGTTGTTGATATTGTTATTTGAAAGTACATATTAGCAAGTGCCAGAAATTTGTTAGACGGGTGTTGACAATATCAACCCGAGAAAATCTTTAGATAGCGTTGTCTTTCCATCATGAGCGTGGAAGCGATAAGTTGGTTTAGCAAGTAGCTGCGTAGGGATCGGATCGGCACGCATCGCGTTATTGAATCGGTAAATTTTGTCGAATATCGAGGCACGCAGGCCTCGGCGTTGAATAGGCCGCAATTTCCAGCGAATTACCGAGCGGTAGCTTGTTTGCACTTGGGGGAGTGCGCGGAACATTCTGAATTATACCGTTAGTTCTATCTAGGATGAATGTTGCACGCGCAACCGATCCCTGTAATTGAGATCGGTAGATTGTAATTTCCATAGCCCTGCACGTAATATCGTGATTCGCGGGGCGAAATTCGGTACGGATTCGACCTTTGAACGAGTAGGGTGGCGCCGTGCTCCATCAAAACGCGATTGTTGCGGGGAGCACGCTCGCCGTTTTGCGAATTAATGCTCGCCCGGAAAGCAAAACTCCAATTACAAGTTCGGCGTTAATCGTCGCTGATTCGATGCTCGTTCGCCCTCGCCCGCCGCGGCTTTCTTTCTCGTGGCTCCATTCGACGTCTTATTTACAATAACGGTGATTAATGAGAAGGATAAATGCGTGTGGATCGCGTGCAGGCCGGTTACGTGCAAACCAATCACGGTCGGTACTTCATCGAGCCGGTGTACGAAGCCGATGCGGAGCCGGATGGCCAACACGTTCACATCGCCTACAAACGAGACGCCCCGCACGAAAACGACGCCAAACACGACGACCCCTCCAAGTGGCATTGCGGGACCAGCGGTTAGTTTCACCAATTTTCTTTTCTACGAACTGTTTCTCTAAATACACAACGATCATACGAAGATTGAGAAACAAAGATAACGGTGGAACGAGACGAACATTTGCAACAGTAATATAAAAAAGTAAAGTCACGTTCGTACGAGTGCAATACGTTACCCGGAGCACGCTCGAAACATATCTTTCGCGTATACCGTTTTGCGTTGAAAAGCGACCGTAGCTTGAGAGGCTATCCCCTAACCCCGACCAGACGTGCAATTTTTAGGCCTTTTTTCGTATTTAAAAAAAGAACTATGCACGTGTAATTATCGATGTCAAGATATTTGGTTCGTTCCCCGGGGTAGATAACTGGGAGGCCGCGTGGGCGGAACAGTTGGCCAAACGACAGAAGCAGCTAATGCAGGATAATTCCGTGGATGCGAAACGAGAGTCGGTCGCTTCTCAAACTCACAGTATACATCGGTACATAGAGATTGGATTGGTCGCGGACAGGAGGTTTCTCGACTTCCACAACAACACCAACTACGAACAATATCTGTTGACGATCATGAACATGGTGTCGGACTTTTATCACGACAGCTCCAGCGGCAATCAAATAGACGTTGTCGTCGTTCGCATGATATATTTAGAAAAGGAGAAGGAAGAGGTAATGGAAAACTAACGAAAGATTCGTCGACTAACACGCATACTATTTACGATCGTATTCTCTCATAAAAATCGTTTTCCCGTAGATAGATTTGATGATTAGTCCCGCAGCGGAAGAGACGTTGGACAGTTTCGCCGCGTGGTCGAATAAAATGAACCCGCCGGATCCCACTCACCCCAATCATTACGACATAGGTGTTCTCGTAACCAGGTACGACTTTAATTTTAATTTCAAAGGATTACGATTCAACGAACGACCGGTTCATCGTGGAATCGTACTCGTACGTTTGTCGATTCTCTCGGGAAAATTTGTGTTTCAGATACGACATTTGTTCGGAAGGGACGAACTGTAACTTGATGGGTTTGGCGTTCGTGGGAACCGCCTGTAATCCCGAGAAGGCAGCCTCTATCAACGAAGACAGCGGGCTGCTGCTTGGAATCGTAATTGCCCACGAAGTTGGTCACGTGTACTGTCCACGCACGTTCCTTTGCTAAGCTTAATCCTTTCGCTGTTATCTACGTGTCCATAGGCGTTCCCCGAACTAGCTTCTCTCGCCTCGTTGGCTCGTTTAACGAACTCTCGCGTGTACCTTTCGTCGCGTTTTCTGCGAAAGCTCGGTTCGAACGACAAACCGACGTTTTAACAACGAAGGGGTTAATAAAGACGGGACTCGAGACGAAGAAAAAGAGCTTTCTTTCTCAAGGTGTGTCTTTGTTCCAGGATGGGTTGCTCGCACGATCAGGAAGACATCAGCGGATGTCCCCCGCAAGACAAGGACGGAAGTTACTTCGTGATGTCGCCTATCGTCTTCATTTACACGGTCCGATGGTCCAAGTGCAGCAGAAAGTTTATAACGACGTTACTCGAGTAAATTGTCCGACGCGTTTAACGATTCTCCCCGTTTCTTGCTTTCTTCGATTGTCAATGGTGCTCGTATCGATTCATCAGGTCCGGCCTGGGCGAGTGTTTGAACGACGACCCGAAAAACCCACCGGAGAAATTCAAGTACCCGAACATGTTGCCCGGTGCAATGTATGGCGCGGAATTTCAGTGCGATATGATGATCCCTGGATCGGTGGTGTGTCCAAAGTCGGTACGGTACAAACATTCTCATGAAAACGCGTACTATTCGAAAATCGGTCGGGGAAAAATTATTTTTTATTCGTACCTTGTAACTGTGCGCCGGACTAAAAATATTGCACGTTCGAGTTTGCCACCTGTGCTGCGGTCGCGTAACATTCTGCCGTCGATACTTTTTAATAGGAATTTAATTAAATTTAATTTTCTGATGATAATTCTTATTTTAATTTTAAAACACTCTGGCGAGAAGCGTCACTCGGGTGCGAAGGGTTAATTTCCTAAAAATTCCGAGATTTTATTCCTTCTTCTTTGGAAACAGCGAATACAAATAATTAATAAATTCGATTTAGTAATTTACGTACTAATTACGTAGTAATTAACGAATTAGGTAACAATTATAGTGGTAGTATTTTTAATTATTTGTATTCGATCCTCGACGTTTCTTCAACGCGCATCTTGCTACCTACCCGGCGCGGTGGCTCTCCGAGTTTAGATTGGTCAGTGTTTTTCGTTAATAATTCAAAAACGAAGCCCCATCCGACATTTTTGCAAAGGAAATTGTTGTTCAGAATCGTCTCAGCTACCCCACATTTCCGGTTCTTACACTATTTACGGGACATGTACACCTTATCCATTGTATTTGTCAGATTTATGCTTACGAATCCGGGATCAAGCAAATCACGATTTTAATTGTTTGTAGTATTACGTAGTTGTACTATCAAGCTCGTGAACAAATGTACGTATATTTCAACAGCCGGATTGCAGCCTTCTGTGGTGCCAGTCCAATTCGAGTTGTTTCTCCCGCGGGAGTCCCATGGCCGACGGAACGAAATGCGGCGAGAACAAGGTTCGTAGAACAGATCTGTCGGCTGCAAAGTCGACGATATCAATTTACACGAATGCAATTAAATTAGGATCCAAGACTAGGAGATTTTTAACATATTTTATAGAAGAAGCGTTAATAACTTCTCTCGTATGCATTCTTCGCGGGTGATTACGATAGAAACGTACGAGAGAAAGGGGCCTGGGCGATACGGAATAATTCAAAATCTTCGTCACGCGAACTCGCGCAAAAGCGCACAAAGCAGCTCCGGACACAATGCTACCGTAAACAGGAAATACTTGTACGAACAACAGCCCCCTACGAAATCTCGAATCTGTTGTGAGAAGCAAAAGCTATTGTACGGGGGCGTACATTATACTCGTAGCTGGTATCACTCTGATAATTCCGTGAATGTTGATATTAACTATAATTGGTGCTACAAACCCCATAGAACCGTACAATGTGCTATTTAGATTCCGTGCATTATTTATAATTCTCAGTCGGTGTTTTCCTTTCGAGGAGAAAGAGCCTTGCTTCAATTTTGGTACGTTGCTATATTACTTCCAGATACCTAATGCTACAAATGTAACGTTTATTGGTTAGGAGATAACACTGTGAGGCGATGCAAAGGCGGAGAATAAAGAGTTTGCGTGTTCTCAGTGGTGCATCCACAAGGAATGCGTGGATATAGGGACTCGACCAAAGGCGGTTAATGGCGGTTGGGGTGCATGGGGCCCCATGTCGAGTTGCAGCAGAACCTGCGGGGGTGGGATCAAAACCGCCGAGAGGGAATGCGACCATCCGGTCCCATCCAACGGAGGCAGATATTGCATCGGCATGAGGAAGAAGATTGCCATTTGCAACATCCAAGTAAATTATATAAATTATCCTTGTAAATCTATACCTGACACGTTTATCCGTGTCTTCTGGTATATTTAGGGAATTGTAATAAAATTTCTTTTCGAAAATCGACTATTTTCTAATCGTGCAGTCCTGCGATATTGCAAAGCCATCGTTCCGTGCGGTACAATGCGCGAAATGGAACAACGAACAGGTTTTGAGCGACGGGATCCATCAATGGTTTGTTTACATCAATCCGAAGGTTGATCCCTGCGAGTTGTACTGCATCAACGAGCAGCACAGCTACGTTAAAATCTCGTCGGTAGTAAATGATTCGACACCCTGCACTCCTGGAACGAATAACATGTGCATCGGGGGCACATGCAAGGTAACGGAACCTTTTTCTTAACGTTACTTTTCGTAGACAAAATATATTTCTAGTACGACGTCCAATAGAGTCGAGACTTTTACGATAACGACGTTACTTTGGAATCTATTCGAAAGGGGTATTTTGCTAACTAATGCCCTGAAAGTATATAGTAACTGTATGCGGAAGGATTCGTGTCCTGTTTGTTAAGACAAACAGTACGAACTCGGCTATCTACGAAGAGCTTAGCCAAACACGAAGCATTTCGCAAAATCAAACATCTACAAACTCGTGTAAAGTCATACGCGATATGCTCGTAAATACACATTGGCGAAGCATCCTTATGCGTGTTTTACGAATGAAAAATATACAACAATATACAATAAAAATATACAGAAATACGTGTTCAAATATTTAATTAACTGAAACTGCTCCACTAGCGTACACTTTGAGTTTTTAAAAAATATAAGCGTCGATACAAATACCGACGCGCCTGCATGTTTTTTCAGTCGCCGTTGCCAGAGGCTATTAATAGCAATCTTGCAAATTTTTAAACGAAATTACCAACGATTACACGTTGCTTGGTAGTAATTACATAGTGGCGAAATCACGTACCGACGATCGCTAGTGAGTAATATGACATCGATTAAGGGTTTCGTTGTATCCTTATATTATAATTAAAAGGAAATTCTGGAATTGCACTTTAGGCGGATATTTTATGACACAATTACGAACCTTCCGTACTTCCGTCATTCGCGAATATACTTAATAGTCGAAAGGTAAACGTAAATACGAATGTTATTCTAGAAAGTTGGTTGCGATTGGCAGCTGGATTCCAACGCTATCGAAGACAAATGTGGCATTTGCAAGGGCGACGGTACGAAGTGTAAGAGGATAGAGGGTCTCTTCGATACAATAAACGTGGACGAGCGTAAATTATATCCCTTTTATTATGAAACTTTTTTAATCGGAAACACTTCCACACTTTGGAAATATGTACCATAATGTATTAATACTGAGAATACTAGAGAAATGTAAAATATGTTCTAACGATGTACGTAACAGGATATTGGAAGGTAGTGACGATTCCTAAGGGTGCACGCAGCATTCACGTGTCGGAGAACAAGCCATGCAAGAATAACTTGGCAGTGAGACTCGAGAAAGATAAAACCTACTGTTTAAACGCGAACATGTAATTATTTTCATCGATGCATTATAATTGAAATTGGCTGAGAATGAAGTATATCGGTTACGTATTAAACGAATAAATGTCTCTAACGATTATAGGACCGAAGAACGAAGCGGCGATTACCCATGCGCGAAAGCTCTCATTATTTATTTGCACCCCCAGCCGTCGCAAGAGCAAATCGAAATAAAAGGACCGATAGACGAGGACATTCGAATAGAAGTAAGTCGCATGTTGTTCGTAGTTTCGCCTACGTTTCTGTAATATGTATCGTTCAATTGAATTCCCTCAAAATGCACGTATTAATAGTTTATTGTTGCAACGATTGCAGTACGTGTTCCATCGAGTGATGGAAAACCCTGGTGTACGATATTCGTATTCCATAATGACGACCGATACGACGTACACCCCGAAATACATATGGGATTTTATAGAGTGGTCCGAGTGCAGCGCGAAATGTGACGGCGGTACAATGGTAATTATTGTAGAACGATCAAATCCTGCAGATTCGTTTAAGTTGGAAATGAATTTTAAATCCTTTCAAATGGCGACGAGTATTTTTTGAATATATTATCCCGCGTCTATGTAGCTTCCGAAAGAATTTAAATTCTTTCGGAAAGCTGCTAGCGTTTCAGGTACTAAACTTTGTATTTTATCCGGTAACTTCAATGCGCGATTACACTCGCCCGTAGAATCACTGATATATCTTGATAGTTCAGCGTATCAACTTACAGATGACTACGAAATAGATACGATTAAAGCAGGTGTTCCAACTAACAGGTATTCGTGTCGGTATCATGCTTCAGCGCGTCTTTTTCATCCAGGAACGGGCGTATGCGTTAATGTTTCCTGATATTTCTTGCGTCAACCATAACCGACGAATAGACAAAATGTAAATGACTCTAAATAAGTAAACTAACGATCTCGTAGATTGCTAGAGTAATCCCGGCAGAATCCGTTTATTTTCCTGGCTCAACAAGCTTTCAAATATTAATCAATCTCGTTTGGTTAAACGTTTACACGAGAATCTATTCCCCTTCGATATTTTCGCGCTTTCTTGTAGCTCGTTCGCGTTTACGCTACTAAATCACGGAACAAACAATATCGACGTAACTGTTCACGGACAAATTTATGTCGCAAAAATCTATGTAAAATTTTATCGTTTGGTTTCGGGATTCTACTTTAACGAATACAGATTTCCGAACCATCGTGTCTCGAAGAGCATGGTGGAAAAGTTAGTCCAAGCTTCTGTCAGGGTACACAACGCCCGGAATCGAAAAGCCGCAACTGTAATACGACGCCATGTCCAGCCAAGTAAGTGCAATTACAAATTGAATGATATATGTACTGAAATCGATATAGGCAAACCATGATCCGATCGAATCGAAGACACGCGATCGAAGCTCCTTTGTATACGGTTAGATACAATATTTATTTTCTTTCTCACGATTAATGGAATCAGAGGCTGATATTTCAGGCCTAGTTTACTCGCTGTACCTTCTTTGCGAGAATGTGTTCGGTTATTAAACTAAAATCGTCGATATTTGAAGGTGGCGAGTGAGTCAATGGAGCAAATGCAGCGCTTGCGACGGTAAAAAGGGATTTAAGCATCGGAAAGTGCAGTGCGTGAGGCCAGCTGCTCGTTCCGGCGAAGACGACGTCCAAGCAAATTTGGACGCGTGCAAAGGTCGCGTGCCCAAGCAAAAAGAAGAATGCGTTGGTAAGAATGTCGATAATTACTTTCGAAATAGTACTTTCCGATTCGAACGACCACCTTAAAAAATTACTTTTACCATTATCCTTTGCATCATACTTGAAAGCTAAGATACCGTTCTCACGGCATTTCCTACCAGGGAAGAGGCCGTGCAGGAAGAGCTGCCCAAAAAAGGCCCGGAACGCGAACGGAGAGCTGGGGGTCGCGAAAGAAAAGCAGTCGATGCCGGCGGAGGACCGGGCGAAGAGGATCGACGCGTTCGTGGATCTGAGCATGGCGCGGTACTTGGAGAAGGTATCGCGCGAGGCCGACGCGCCGGACTTCCGGCAGCTTCTTCGCGACTGGTCGGTCGTTCAGGAGGAGAAGACGAAACGCAACACCTGCGTTTCGGAGAGAAATTTCACCACGCCGAAGCCTGGATCGATCGTCAAGGACTCGGTGCCGGTCGAGAATGTCGTTCTGATCGAGGCTCCATACATGGAGGAGAACCTTCAATCGAATTTGTCGGACAAGGCGTACCGGGAAACGGGCGACCTTGTCGGCATGAGTATCGACACCACTCGCGAAAAGGTTTACAAGGGACTGCAAGCCATCCAGAAAATCGAAAAGCTCACCTTTCCGAACGGGACGCCTCCGCCATATTCCCCCCCACGGAACTCGACTTACGATCGTTTGGCGAGGATCGTGGACGACGCGGACCAGTGAAAATCGACTATCGTTCATTGTACAATTATGTATGTAGCGTTAAGAGATACAGAGAATACTTTTCCCTTTTCCTTTATTAAACACGTGCCATTTCTTTTAGGAATAAACATATTCTGTTTATTTGGAACCGACTCTGTCCTCCTGTATTTTCTCTATATACCTAACCGCGTCCATTCCAACCAAAGTAAACACTGTACTGTTCGCAGGAGGTTGAGGTTCAAAGTCCTTCGGAAAGTTAATCGCGCCATTCTCTTCGTCGCGTTCCAAGAAAATTGTCAGCGTTAAGTTACCGATATTCTCCTTGTCGACTATCGCTTCGTTCTCCTTCGCGTCTTGCGATTTCGTTGTCTCGCGTTGGTGTTTTCCGGACGCATTTTCTGTAGTTTGCTCAACTGGAAAGCGAAAGAAAATTAGTTGTTTAACTCGACAACGATAGACGACTGATCGAGCCTAGGCTTTGGAAGTTGCAACATCGTCGTACGATTTTCATTCTTCTACCTGGCCCTGCATAGCGATCGACGACGTATCGTCGACTCACGATGCGTCGTAATCATTGGCCTCGCGGAGTGTGCAAATCCTCGGGCTCAATTTCCTGCGTTCCAACGCATCGAAGTATGACAATGAGAACGAGCATCGTACGCCAAAGAAGGAGGACTTTAACGCGTCGTTCGTGCCAAGTGCACGTTCGTTTTCGATGGTGTCGTTCGATTTCTCGACGAGACGACCTCGGTGCTTCGCAGAGTACACGGTATAGCTCGTACTTTTGTTCTTCCCTTGGCGTGCCAGGACATCGTCCCGTCTCCGACGACCGCCACAGGACTCTCGATCCTTCGGTTTCGGTCCGTGACAATAGCTGTCGGCGATAATATCTACATCCTGCTCGGCGTAGCCAACGGGACGCACGCATTTGACGGCTCGTCTCCTCTCGCAGTCGGGAACGCAAGATGCACAGCCTTGCCAGTCACCGATCATCCATCTACGATAACGGCGATTATCTTTAAATTAGACCGATACTCTGATCTATCCAAGTAACATCAACCTGGACGAAGATATGCAGCAGCGAATGAAAACTAGGATATATTTATCAGCGCAAATCATCATCATTTCCATAGTTTTTATAGAACGGTGCTCGAGAAGAGACTGTTTCTATTGATATTAAATAAATTTCGCGGAGAAATCTAAATATTTCGCTATTCACTATTTTCGGTTCCTTTCTCAATTAAAAATATTCGTATATTTAATGAACAGCTTCTGCTAACCTCGGTAAGCAGGGCGCTCGATGACATGGTTTGACTTTTGCCTCTGGTTTCGCAACGTTCTTGCAAAACGAGTCATCCACCAACCCGGCGAGTTTTTCCAGGCAACGGGGCTTGGAAATCTGTTCACCGGGCCCGCAATTCGCGCTGCACTCTTCCCAGTCGACGAATCCCCACGCGAATTCCGCCTTACGAGGGCTCTTTTCTTTCAGACCCAACGAATACTTCACCGTCGCGTTCTCTTTCGGTAGAATCTATTGGACGACACAACGCGCCGGGTCGACATAATTATGTCAAGTTGCCGTGGATAGAATTACTTTTCTAAAGTCAGTAGCGATAATACGGCCCCGACAATTATTTGTTCGGTGAAAGACGAATCTATCTCGCAAAAGAGTGTCGCGATTACACGGCGAAATACGAAATCTTGAAAAAGTTGGTCTCCTGGCAAGAGCCTCGGCAGCGTCGAAATTGAATGCGACGCGATAGAAACACGACCAGCGCGAGTCGTACATTTTCAGAAGTGAATTTTTATCGATCTAGAGATTCTTTTCACTTTGCGTCGTGCGTCTTTTGAATAAACGATTTTGCTGAAAATTAAAGGGAATCGTCGAGGTACGCGCGTTACCCAGTGCCAAGAGTTATATCGCGGTGAAATGGCTCGATGAAACGCACACCGAGAGAGCTAATTAGATTTGAGTAACATTCCCAGAGTCGTTCGTTCGTTACCCGCGGCATGAAATACCAGATAGGAGAACGCGAGGTTCGTTCTGATCAACGAATGCAAAAGTTTTACGGCTGTGGGTCGCGTAGGTGTCACCGGTGGTAATAATATCTGGTATGCGCATACGTCGGTCTGCTGAGAGCAATTAGACGATACGTCGCGACGCACGGACCCAAGGAACCAGGCCCTTTTCGTTTCGCCATCGCGGCGAAGGTGTTGCGCGAACAGATAAGAACTGTCCACACCCGGACACCTTGTTCGAGATACCTTATCGATCTGTCCTACCTGCTAATTAGCGGATCGCGTTCGTTATGTTTACCAATACAGCCAAGTCCGCCATGACGGGCCCTGGTATGTTGAGAGCCTCCTGGTTCGGTCTTATTGTTCCTAGCCACGCCTTCGTGCCCGCCACCTCGAACATTCCTAAACGATCTCTGAAACAATCATATACGATGATATGTGTGCGTGTGTGGTGAATCTTTTATTCAGACTATTCCTTTGTTACGGTCGTCGAGATATGGAAGTTGGTTACAGTAAGTAACTAGCCGTAGGTAACGATCTCTCGATCTCGTTTGTAAATGTTTCGACCCAAAGGCAGTTTAGTTTACTATCGGGTTGTAAAAATATTAATACCGTCCTTACTCGATTATTGGGAATAAAAATCCGGTTGTTCGATCGGTCTATATGCGACAACAACAACCCCGATACTGTTGCCAGTTTAGTAAAACAGTAAATGTCTCGCAGTGAAAAATATTTATTGGTCGTACATATACGCCTTCCGCAGTCAAAGGGTTAAGCAAATAACAGAACGGTACGATAATAACTCAGTCTGGTCAGACGTCTCGTTCTACTTTAACGCTTTCACTGCGGACAGCGACCGCGGGTCGCAAATTTGTTTTCTCGTCGGGTGCGTATTTCGATCTCTGCCTGCTCTATTTCATACAGAAAGCAACTCCACGTTTTCTTACGCTGAACCAATAGTAATACCACGCTTTAGCAAAGACGAGATCGAGGATTTACTCGTTAGTTCAACGAAGAGACATAGTAAAGATAAAGTCAAGATGGTTTCAGTTCAAAAAAAATGTTTCAAATTCAAACGACTCCCGAATGTTTGAAACATATTTTATGCAACCAAAACCACCATAAATTTAAAGAGTATAATCTCCCTTTCACAACGACGCCCTTAAAAGTTATTACTCGATAGAAGATGATCTCTGAACCAGTGTAAAAATGATATTCGATGCTATAGGAATATGTATCACTCTTGTCTGGAGAATGCTTCATGAGCTGTTACTCTATCCATACAATATTCAACGAGTGCAAGCACTCGGTGCACCGGATTATTCAGCAAGAATAGAATTCACAGTGGCCATTCGTAAACTGTGCTTCGAATTCGAATGTCCTACCTTGCATTTTATTTACGAAATAAAATGGTCGCGTATGGGAAGTAGAAAACACGTATTTAATTAAACGAACCATCGATACCCAATCTTCCACCAGTTTCGAGTTCACGCGGAGCATTTATCGCTAAAGTCGATTTACCCATCGATCAACGGTTTCCTATCCGCGGTTCGCACCATTATCCTGGATCTCGTGGGTTCGAGTTCTTCGATCCGAACGTTCGTCGATCCAGCCGGGACGTCTATTATTTTCTTCGGTTCTGCCATTTAAAGTTTTTTCCTCTCGATTATTATATCTTTTCAATATTTTATAGTTTAGTTTCGAAGTAAATAGAAAAGCAACGACACGGAAGGAAAATATAGACTCACGAGACGCCGCCTCGATCGTTATGGTCCCTTGGATCGGTTTGCAGGAAGTTCCGTTGCCCTTGCAAACGCCGCACGCGTCTTCGACGGCGTTCGACTCCATATTCAGATCACAGGGTATTCCTTTGCAGAGCCCTCCTATGCAAATATCCCGTATGCCTCTGTAGCAGGTGGTGCCATCGATGACTTTCGGTCTCAGGGACGCCACCAAGTTGGTCTCGCTCAGGCAATAAAGGGAGCAGGGATTTTCGGAAGCCCTCAGATCTGTTTTGCGGTCAATCGAGTCCATTAGGGAACTATCGGTAGACGCTGGCGGATCGTTCGCGACGCGGTAGTTACTCTCTGGCAGATTGTAAGTCGTCCATCGGTGAACTTTGCCGTCTTCCGGGAAGATCCAGTTATTAAACTCCGAGCACTGAACGTCGCGAAACGACGGCGCGTCCGTGTCGCAGGGCTGAAAATCGATACAAGTTTTGGCAGTATCGAACATTCTATCTACCTTTGCAGAAACGTTTCAACGTAGTAGTCGGATTTACGGTTCGTAACGTTCAAAACTTCCCGTCACGGATGGAGGTCGCGACGATTTATCGAAGCGCGATTAATTTTTAGTAATACCACTAACGATAGAGGCGCAAATTTTATGGCGTTTTCGGTCCCCGTAACAGTAAGTTCCGCCATTGGACGGCGACGGACTATTGCATCGTCTGATCGAGAAAGCCACGCCGGAACCGCAACTTCGGGAGCATCGACTCCAAGGCGACCAGCCGCCCCAACCGCCGTCCACGGCCCCTGGACGTTCGCCGACCATCAGGCATTTCATTTCGTAACACCACTGCAAAATTAATTATCCGACAGTCTGGCCAGTACACTTACGATGTTCAAGTTAATCACGCCGCTAGCCATCAAATTTCCAACGTACATTTCCGCGTTACCCTTTGCGTCGTCGATGCAGCACAGAAATTATAGCGCAAAGATGGAAGAACTTATCAACGTTATCATAATTTTTGCGAATCCGGTCAAAGTACAACAAAATGAAACGATTCGGTTCGACGTGGAATCGCAGACAGTTGACGAATCTAATAGCGCTCGAATAAAAAATTTAAATATATCTCTCTTTCGTGAGAGCGTCACGTCGCCGACTCATTTTTCCTTGAATGGAAAAATCAATTTATCGCGAGGAGCACTGGTTGCGGTCGTTTGATCACGCTCTGGTACGTGACGGGTCGAGGCCGAAAATATTTTTCAATAATCGACGTAACCGTGATGTTGGAAAAGCCGCAGATACGTGAAAATTCACGCTATGAACGATGGTGTCCGAACACGTCGATAGTATTTTACCCTAACAGACATTTTCTAGCTTACGATCAAGCATATCCTGTTTCGAAACACACCGTTTCAAAATTTCTATTTTTCTACTTCGATTGATTATTGGATGATTTCGATAGGTATTTAACTTTTCCTAAGTCATATTCCTCCACCATTGCTCAGCTTTCTTTTCTGCTCGATAATTGTTTCATTCCTCGCTATCTGATATTCTGTTCGTGCTCCAAACGCGATATCGTCTAATTATTTTGAGTCGCGTAAAAGGAACAAGCAAACGCAGCTCGATCGAGTATTCAGTGGCTTGCGATCGTGATATAGAGCGTGCGCGAGGTGGAAGCCGCGCGAAAAACAACTGCTCGCATGTCTCGGGCACAACGTCTTAATCGGAGTCGCATTGAAATTCAAACAGTCGAGAAAGAGAGAGAGAGAGAGAGAGAGAGAGATAGTGTGTTTTTTATCCGGTGGTTTTACCGCTGAATCCTACTAGACCAGTTTCTTGCAAAAGTCTGCTCGTAAAGTGCTTCGTGACGTGTTTATAGAGGATTATCTTATATCTAAATAATATGTATCATTCCCACGGTGGAGAGCGTATAATTCTTTCGCAATCGGCGACGCCAAGGGGAATAAAGCTTACCTTCGACCCTCGGATACGTTAGACCGTTAACCCTTTTATGCCCACCGTTACTCCGACTAAAGCTCCGCGCGCCTCGAATATGTAAATGGCCTCGTTAATTGCGAGCAATAGAGATTGCCACGATAAATCGTAGATCGAAGAAAAAAAAAAATCTGATATTTCTTGCTTCGAGCAGCAAATTGCCCGGAAGAATGGGTGTCGCTGTTCATATTTAAAATATTACACCATTTTTTCGCACGAACCTCGTTACCTACCTAATCGTCTTTTATTTTAAAAACATTCTCGTCCTAATTACCCAGCACGGGAGAGAATATTAACATAAAAGAGTTAACGGATCGCGAGTTTCAGGTGATCTGAACGCAAAGTGCCGGGGCGATACGGGTAATCGGAAAAATCTTTTTGGAATTTCATTAGCCGAGTGAAATTCCACGATAGATGTGCTCGGCGGATATTCGCTAATTAGCCTTTGTGTTTTTTTCCCGGCGATAATTTACTCTGTTCTCCCCGCAGCGCGTACCCTCGGCGGGTGGTTTCCTCGCAGACACGCAACCTTTTCCCGGAATGGAGCACCTGAGGGCCTCGCAGCTCTGAAAATGAAACGCGATCGAATTGGCGGATGATAGCGGTGGGCCGGTTTCGTGACGATTGCGATATCGCGAAACGATATCCAGCCCCGGTTTTCCCCGTTGATTATCTAAACGACGCACGATCCAACGTGTATAGTATTTTCGTAAACGGATAAAGCAGACCTCCGAGAAGGTAGAAGGTTTACCTGCTGGGCGGCAGATGGTGCCTCCTTACGGCAAACCTGTATCCCCTACAGATACCTTTCATAGAGGATACCCGTTATACGTATTCCATTTAAGTAAAACGTATAGAAATAAGATTTTTTTCAATCCTTGGCACGATACCCTTTATAAATGCATTTGGTCGTGTTTTAGAATAGGAGGACCTATGAGCGTAACAATTTCCCAAGTCTTGTATAGATCACGATCTTAATCTATATTTAGATTAAATGAATCTTTAAAAGAATCGAATAGAAATTCACTACTAACTTAGCTGCTTCAGTTTTAACAACAGAATGTCAAAAGCCCTCGATATCTTTGTATTTAGAATAGGAGGATTTATGAGCGTAACAATTTCCCAAGTCTTGTATAGATCACGATCTTAATCTATATTTAGATTAAATGAATCTTTAAAAGAATCGAATAGAAATTCACTACTAACTTAGCTGCTTCAGTTTTAACAACAGAATGTCAAAAGCCCTCGATATGTTGTATTAACGGCCAGACTTGTTAAGGGCTACGAATTTTCGACTTTTGTCCATTGTTCATACCGTGCAAACGCGTGGGCCTTGTACTTATTATTGTGACGCGCCTCTTTCCACGAAGCACAAATAGTTAACAACGGAAAAGGAGTTAAGAATAATTTCCAGCCCACGAGTTCTAATAGCTCGAAAAGAGAAGGGTCTCGGTTAATTTTACGGGCAACGCGTGGCAAAAATGTCGTCTCGCGTCAATAGAAGCGATTCTTTGTTCGTCGAGGGTAAACAGCAGGAGAAATTTAACTAATCTCGTACGCGCCAACGGCTTAATTATCGCGCAGAAGTCGTTAAACAAAGCCAGAAGTGTTTGCAGCCGTCGCTTTATACCGGTCGCGACTCTTACAAATATATTTAACATAATGAACAAATGGTATGCGTTTAATGAGACCGCGGTAGTCGGCGCGCATTACGAGAGAAACGTTCTTCTGTGCCGGCGACAAAAGTGAATCATTGTTTTGTTCGCGACTCACGCAAATATCACCGTGAACAACAATGGTCCGGAGAGCCGACACGTTTGATACGCGTTTCCGGGAAACAATGTCGCACGATAAATAAACAAAGTTCCACTCAAATTTTCATTAAGTTCGTTAGCGTTGCGTTCTGAACGTTTCTTTGTGTCGCCGGGCGTATGTTTTCGGAATTAATTATAACATTTAAACAGTCTGTTTGTCCCTCATCAATGATTCCACAGAACGAAATAATGAGACTGTCAAAGAGTGCAACGATCGTTCGGTTCGATAAATCTGTTTACAGCACTGTACAAAGTACATACGTTCGAGTATTCTTAATGGTCGATGAAATGTTTTCTTACGATTCCTAAGTCGCATTGACGCGCGTCCTGATGATACAGTAGCCGACACTGGTCATCCCCGTTGTACATTACTCCAGGAAGTAGTTCGATGACGGGGAAATCATGATCCTGAGGTTCGTCCTCCAAGCAAAATCCTCGACCTTCTCTGCAACGATTATCGTTGGTATAATTTTCTTTAGAGTTTCTGAACCTCTTCCCGTGGCATTTAGCTCGACGAAATCCGGGCCCAAACGGTAGGCGTCAACGAGACCAGACTGACGCTAAACTGTTTTGTAACAGAGATTAGAAGAATCGTGGCCGACTCTTGTGGCATACTAATAGGAACTAAAACTCAATGACGATCGTGATTTGCATATATTCATGCAACATGTTCATGTTTGGGCCAAAATTTTCATCATGAATCGGACTCGTTAAAGTACAGGAAGGGGTTAATTTCGTTGATTCTTACTCAATGTACGATTTCAGAGACTTCCTCGAGCACTTGGACCACCTTTTGGTAACGTACGGGCTCCCAGGGTACATGATCGTAGTTTCTATGTATCTACTACCATGGCGAATCACGCCATGGCAACCATTTTCCTCGTAGATATCGTGAGACATGCCCAATCTGCCGGAAGCGGTACGAAACACGAGATAGAATGGTTCGAAATATTGTTTACGTATCGTTGAGAGGGTAAAACGAGAAGGAGACTCGTACGTATGCCCAATGTGATGAGTTATGTGATATCCTGTTTGTAAGCCAACGTCCCTCACGATCGCAGCGGCTTTTCGTGGATCGCAAGTTCCATCGATCGTCGAAGTACCGGTGAAGCCGCACAGGCTCGTTGATTCGCAGATGTTAGTCCTGACGATTTGATCGATCGTTAAAAATCGTTCGTCGTAAGCTCAGACTCCTGGCAAGATCGATTTCGTTTCAGCATACTTTGCAAGGAGAACCGCGCAATCGTGGTGGTTAGGATGAGAATCGTCACCTGGATTGATGATTTCTTGCCACGTTTGAAAATATTTCAGCGTTTTATCCGCGTCTTTGTTTACCGCTAGTTCCATCTATCCGTTTCAACGAGGGGTTAATGGTAACGATCATAAATGTTGATAGGTTTAGAAAACTCGTGATACCTCGTCGTCTTGAACGTGCATTCTAATGATCCTAACGATGCTCAATTCCATCAGCACTCCTAAGCTATCGTCGTGCAGCAATCCTGCAGCCTAAAAGAACACCCGAAGATTGTTTTTTCGTTCCAATTCGCACAGAAAGAACGCTTTTCTTGTTTCTGTTAGAGGGTGCAATTAGAGAATGATCGTACCATATTGAGCAGCGTCAATACGTAATTCTCGACGTCAAAGTCCTGGTGATAATCGAGAAAGGGCTTGTCTAGTACCAGCAGCAGCTCCAGTGTGTAGGATCTGTCTTGGTTGTTAGGTGGGTGCCTTTTCTGGGTGCTGAAAGCACGCTTGGCAATGGTTTTGGTTGCACTGCCGGTGACGTTACAAAGAATCCCAACGTTCGTCCCGGATTCGTCCGGCCTCTTTTTGTAAACGACATGCGGGTACTCCGCTTCTTTGGTGAAGTCGTGACCCGCCACCGGCTCGATCGTATACCACGATCGTTTCGTTCTAATGTATCCGGCCTGGAGATGAGAACATCGAGATTCCTTCTAGTCAGATTTATCTTACGCTTGGAAAAAGATCGTGATATTCGTTCGAGCTGTTCGAAACCCTTAACCGACAAACTGGATTCTCAAATCGATTAAAAGCCTCGTTCCCTTGTTTCTATTTTCGATTCGGCACGTTTACTCTGTCGATGTCGTTCCTCGATTCATGGCGTTTGTACGTACGAACGTTCAAAAGTAGAATAGGTTTGTGTCACGAGACTTATAACAAAAGTTGATATTTTGTTTTTGAAAATCAAAGTGTCGCCGTACTAACGAGACCATAGCACGTGGACAGGGCACTGTTCTCCGATTGGCCGTGAACGCGTCCCTGATAATGGCACTGGGAGTCACGCATTCGTTGCAATTTTGAATTATCCAAGAAATCGTTGTTGTACTCGGTCGTGGGACTCTTTGGCTCCGTGTGCTCTTCGATAACAGCACCTGGATGAAACCGTAACGAGTCGAATAGCGCGCATTAGTCCCATAAAAGCGTAAACACCGTAGCAACTCTACTATGTCGCAGTTATTCCCGTGGAATGTCTTCTCGAAATCATCCCGCGCAGCGAATTTCGAGGAAATTCTATACTCGCCTGGAGCGACGAGACGATGATTCGGTCGAAGCTCGAGGTGGTGTTCCTCGTCGTCGATTTGCAAACGGTAGTGAACAGCGTCGTCGGGAATCGTATCTGTCCTCGTTCGAGCCGCGTAGAAGGAACGTTTGAAGTGATGAGGTATTTGATGCGACACGAACTTTCCATCCGACCTGACTTTCCTCGGCACCACGATTTCGTATCCGCCGGCGAACTCAGAGTCGCGCGTGTAACGCCCTTCAAAAATAAATCGTCGTTATCGAGAAAGCTCGCTCGTTCTCTTCGAAAAAGAAGACTTCGATTTTGCAGATATTTTTTCCATTCTCTTAAAACGATCGACGCAAAATTCATTAACCCGTAAATTATAGGAACCCGCGCGTGATAAATAAATGTTTGGAAAAGTAATAAGAGCGAGAAAACGGGGTGAGTCTGCTCCACGAGGATTTTTCAAAGCATACACGTTTCACGTTTTTAATATTCGGTAATGTCGCGAGGAGTATCGATTTTTGTTGCTCGTCGATACATCGCGCGAAAGAGGGACGGTGTTTCAGAGACTTGGAAGGTATATTTCTCGTTTCGATGTAACTCCCTTCGATTACAATATCCGCGACTGTTGATGCATTCCGTTTTTCCGTAATTCCTGACCTACTTCTCGTCCGTGTAACCAACAATCTTGTTCTCGTCCGCGTTAATGAATTCGGTTTATCGCGAAAAGTGTTCTCTCCGCGGCTTAATTTCCCGGCCATCGATGACGAAAGCAAAATCCGTTTCAGCTATACTTAAATTCTCAAAGAAACTAATTCTATGGTAGAACGAACGAATGGATTATTACGAGCAGCGAAATACTCGTGCAACAGCGAAAGATATGCATTTAAGGAGCAAAGTTATCGTTCGGTTCAAGCAATCCACCACATTGCTGCGACAAACGTCGGGGAATGTATTCGGAACGTCGCCAACGAGTGGTTTCCTTCGTGAAATAACTTCGAGAGTTTGAGTGGCCTTCGTTGAAGAACTTTCGAGGAATTTCGAGGATAGAATCGATCGAGCAGAAGCTTGGTAAAAAAAACCACGAGGAACGGTCAGATTGCGCGGAACGAGCAACGTCGTAACGCCACGCGCAATCTGAAATTTCATCGACTCCCTATATTCCACAAAATCCTTTGCGTTGCTTTTCGGAAATCGGTGTCAATGTTTCACGTTGGAACGTTGGAAAATCTCTATTTCGTTATTGTTTGGAAAAACAGCGCCGCCGGAATTGCGCCAGCGATTTTCAGATCACGTAACTGTACCGTTCGAATGTTTTTACTTTTTAATTGCTGTAACGTGTGAAAATGTTTGTGTTTTGTGTAGACAATCTGTTTACAAAATGAACTTTTACGAAAATCGTCCCTGCATTCCATAACTTGACTATTGGAATTCGGTTACGCGTTTCATCGAAATGCTAATGATCGGTCGAACCGTCAAATTATTTTTCTTTGTAGCTGGCGATCGCGTTGGTCCCATATGGAACGCTGCTCGTGTGCTCGCAATGTTTCATCGATTCTTGAAAAGTTTCCGTTATGCATGCACGTTGAACGTTTCGTTTTGATGAATTGCAATTAAAACTATCGAAGCACGCCCCGGACGTCGATCGACGGCTACGACGACATAACAGAAATTGCGTTGTCCGAACTTATGGAATTTCGCCCTTTACCTCTGCTCGCGCTGCTGAATCCGTCGCAACAGAGGAGAACGAACAAAGGGAAACAAACGGACGGAAAAATCGGGCACCGTTTAACCATCGTCGTTTCTTCCTCTATAGAATGTCACCGTAACGTTCTTTCGCGGAAGCAAATCATTCGCTGGACAAAATCGGAAACGGAGAGACGATATTTTGACGGAAAGCACTTCGGTATCTACCAATCTCGAAACAAGACGTATCGCTTTCGATATCAATTGCAATTTCAAGCTGTTGCGTCAGTCTTCATTCACCCTATATTTTACCCGCATTCCCCGTCGATTTACGATCTATCGTTTCGGTATTCTATGCTCGAGGCAATTGTTCGCGCGAAAAAAAGTTTCCCATTCTGACATTTACGGCATCTTTCGCAAGACCAATAATTGTTACGTTATTTAAACGAAACGTAGTTGTACGCTGTTGCAATTTGTACGGTTAGCTGGTGAATTTAGAGGCACGAGTAGAATCGGTGGATGAGAGGGTGCAGAGCGGCGGTGCAACGAGGAAAGTGGAAGAATCGTTTCAACCCGCAACGTAGGCTACGATTCATCGGCGCATCTCGTATACTCGGTACACCCGTTCGCGCTACACGCCACGTTACGAACAAACGAATGACCCAACTCGAGGAAACAAAGAGTTCGTACGTGCGCCAGATACAATAGCGTTCCAACGCCGAGCATCAACTTCCCTCTCGCATCGTTTCACAATTTTATCTTACCGATATGCCCTCGCCCTCTGGCCCTTCTACGTTTTCGGTCGTTTGCTATCGCTAGCAAAGAAATACCTTTTAGAAGCCAAGCATCCGTTCTTCTTCTCAACCCATAGTAAACTCAAAATTGTAAGAAGTGTACGTGTTTGAACCGTGGGACCGTTGGCGTCGATAATGTTTAGTCTAAGCTAGAGTAGGTATCGAGTGAGGTGTTTAGGTTTAACCCTTTTAGTACCGAACGACGATATATCGTTGCGTATACGATGGTGCTTTACTCTTCGCATTAGGAGAAAGCTCTGTCTCAAAAAAAATTTGTAAAACATTATAACGGGTCTAATTTTATTGCAAAAGCATTTAAAAAATTATTTTTGGGTTTAACCCTTTGCCCCAGAAGCCTTTTTCGCTTGGGCGAACCAGCAACTCAACACTACTTTCTGGCGGAAACGTATGTATTCTGGAGTCGTCATATTATACAGGGTGTTCGGCCAACCCTGGGAAAAATTTTAATAGGAGATTCTAGAGGCCAAAATAAGACGAAAATGAAGAATATCAGTTTCTTGACTGAGGCCTCGTTAAAAAATTATTAACAATTAAATTAAAAAATTTCAAACCGTTCTGGAAAAATTATCTTCGATTGCAGGGGTCAATTACAATCATTTTTGGTAAATACACATATCTCCGAAATCCTACCCACTTTCGAGAAAAAAATTCGAGTAGGTACTGAACTTTTTAGATGAAATTAAAATATTTAAAATCACACTAAAAAAATTATATTTAGTTACAGGGGTCAATTACAATCATTTTTTATCATTACACATATCCCCGAAATTCTACGCATTTTCGAGAAAAAAATTCGTGAAGGTGTGAAATTTTTCAATGGGGAAAAAAAATTTTTAATTGTTCTGGAAAAATTATTTTTGGTTGTGGGAGTCAATCACAATCATTTTTGGTGAATAGACATACCCTCGAATTCCTGCGCGTTTTCGAGAAAAAAATTCAGTACGGGCTCCACTTTAAACGTTAATAACTTGTTAACAAAGCCTCATCATATTTTGAATTGATTATTTATTAAAAAATCATTGAAAATCAAATACTTATACTTTATGCTATGTGACCTACATAAAACTGTGATCAAACAATGATTATTCTTATGTGTAAACATTGTTTGTAGAAAAGAAACTTGTTTCTATGTTTTTTATCATATTTTATAATTATGTTATTTATACGATTTGCAATAAATATTGAACTGCAATTGCCATTACTTTATTCTTTCTTTATTTCGTAATATGCTGCTTTTTGAATTTTGTAAATATCATTCTTAGTTTGGTTTTTACGAGCTTTTTCTCTAACCATAACAAATTCGTCAAATTGGCTCGGTATTCTTCGCATAGGCACTCGTTTTTCGCTCGGTACTAAAAGGGTTAAGCTGAAATACGTTCGGGGGACTGCGCCTCGAACGTGCGTTTTGTTTACATCATTATGAAGATAGGAATAAGGAAGGTTCGACTTTCACTGCAGAAACGGTACTCTGTATCGAACGTTAGTCGAGAGCAGTTTTACGTTTACATTTACGTTTTATGTCTTTTTTTATGTTCTTCATGTTAAATAGTTAGTAAATATTAAATAGTACAGCTTATATAGTTACGTTTATTGTCCACGTGTTTGAATCCCATCATACGCCTCTGACCATCCTCGACAATCCATAGAAAATTGTCTCGTATACCCTTGGAAAGGTTAATCGAAACGCGGTGTAGTAACAATATTGACAGAGTGAATCGTTTCAAAGAATAAACAATCAATTTTTCCTCTCTTAACGGTTTAAATCGTGCTCCTTCTACCGCGAAGCATTGAAAACATGTTGCTCGTTCCCTGCGAGATAGTGTTATTATTTCTGTAGAATACCTACCCACGGGGTCGCCAAGATATCCCTGAACGAACAAAACGGTTTGAACTTTCCTATCGTCGCGTCGTTCCGTTACCGGTTCCGTCGACCACAAACTTTGTTCGGACGTATTAAAAGCCCATTTGTATACCGAGACGGAAGAATGGGTATTAGAGGGCACTATTGTTCGTTACGCTTTTTTGCGACAGAATATACCGGAGCCACCCTTAAACGTACAAACGAAGAAAAAAGTAACGAAACTCGTTACAAGTCCCAGCAAGCTGCACGCGTGCCAGATGGAAACTAAAGAATCTACGACGCGCCCGTGTCTAGGTTAATAAAACGAACACAAACAAGGAAGAAAACGTTCGAAGTGTGTAATTTCGTCGTCGTGGTTGCACAGCCGAGCCGCGGCGAACGCGAAAGTGCAATAATGGTGGACAGCGAACGCGCGGGCCCCGTTTTTTTTCGGCTATTTGTCGTCCCCGTCCCATCGTGCGTAATTGTACTACTCGAGGAGATCTCGGGACAGATTTCTCGAGAATATACCGGCGGCGTCAGTTTTAAAACAAAGGAGTCCGAGCGAAAGAAACGCAATGGGAAACGCTGTCGGACAGGGGAGACGAGGAACCGCGAGAGGAATTGCTGCGAGTAACCGAACTTTCTGCTCGGGAGTATAAAACTTTTTACCGCTTTAATCCGAACTTTACGATAAGGAGATTGCATCAAACGGCCATTGTAAGTCACCACAGAGGCCGGGAGAGTGCCTTTTACCGTAGCCGCTCGAAGGAGCAACTTTTTTCTCCCTTGTGTACAGCCGTACCTTCAAAATGGAATTGAATATCGGTGGACAAGAGAAAGAAAGAGTACCGAATGCCCCGCGACCATTATACTCCGTCCCTCGCTCTTTTTGATTTTTCCAACCGACG